TGTAAGCTGCCTTGAGCCCTTTGTAGGAAAAAGGCAGCTTACATCTCCTCCTCCATCTTATCCCCACAACAACAACCCTGTGAGGTAGGTTGGGCAGAGAGTCTGTGACTGGCCCAAAGTCACCCAGTTGGCTCCATGGCTGAGCGGGGACTAGAACCCAGATCGTCTGAGTCCCAGTCCCATGCTCTTACCCACTACACCACACTGGCTCTCTCTATATATATATTTGCTTGGACTGGCTGTGAGTTTTAATACATTCATTTTTATTAACACAAGATTTCAGCTTTGAGTTTTCTTATGAAAAAATGAAATTTAGTATCTAAGATTTAGCAAAGAGATGTTCTAATTAAGAGACTGAGATTATTAATGTTGTGCTGTCTCCCTGGCATATTTGAATCTGCAGCATCATATTTAGTTGTTTGTGAAGAATTTATGAAAATGAGCAAGGATATATATATATTTGCTTGGACTGGCTGTGATTTTAGCAGAAGCCCCCACAAGGTAGGAAATGCACTCAGATGCAAAAGCACGCCAAATGCAAACTTTTACCTTTCAATAAAAAGCTGTTTGTATCATCGAAAGCTCTGTTATTGTGGTTTTCTTTTAAGACAAAAGATGTTAATGTATGAGTTGTTTTTTCTAAACTAAAACCTCAGTATTCAGGTTTTATTGCAGTGTTGACACTTTGCGATAAATAAGTGGGTTCTGGGTTGCAGTTTAGGCACTCGGTCTCTAAAAGGTTCGCCATCACTGATCTAATGCATAGTGGCCAACACAATGCCTTTTCTTAAAATACTGTTGAAACTGAATTTGTTCTCTATTTCGATTTCTATACTACACAGCACACTCCTCAATATTTGAAATTTACTAATACGAAGACCCAAGCATCATATTTTCAGTCCAATACCAAATTTCAACATAAGCCCCTTCCCATTATGGCAATGGTGTAGTAGCCTGAGCTAGTTGTGTGGACCCCAGTAAAGTATACCTCCACCCACACCCATGCTTGGGCACTACTGAAATTCAGGTGTTTTTTCTTTTTCTAGTCAGTATGACCCCGTTGTCCTGTTGTCACTCATACCCAACTCATGTGTACTTTAACTAATATAGGTTAAATTGTTAAAAGCAGATAATTCTGAAGGCTTCTTTTCAGAATTATCCCCAAATCCTAGGTCAGAATAGAAAGATGAGGCTTCTGTTGACATGGTAATTTGAGGACAGGACAATGCACCTTAAAATTCAAGCCAGAACAGTTTCATTTACTGATGTAAAATCTGAACTTTATAATATAAATTGTTAGGAAAAGAAGGTGTCTCCCTCACAAGAACAGAAGTAGGCCACGTAAAATGGCCAGCAAAACATATGTGACCTTTAAGGGAATTTATAGCCCTTCCCATTTAAAAAGCATCAACTCTGATGGTGAAAACAGTTTTAATTTAGCACTGTGTATACAAACTGGAATAGAGAAATATACTGCAATGGAATGAAAATATCAAGAACATAATTCAAAATGAATGATGCATAGAAGCTATGCTGAAGCCCTACCTTGTCAGGAATATTTTTGCTCAGCATAAGAGGAAATATTCTTTCATGGAGTAGCTGTTCACGTGCATACTTGTTGTTACAGCCATACATGAAGATATTATTCTTTCGACTGTGCCCATGGAAGTCACAATAAAGCAGAACCTCCCGCTCCTCAAGGACTCTTGGAGAGAAAAAATATAAGCAAAGAAGCCAAAAAAACCCCAAAAAACTATTAAGTATAAAAACTATTGGCTGGTAGCAGATAAATAACCATACTGTGCGTTTTTTCCCACTTATGTGGAAGAGAACGTCACAGTTAGGACATCACACATTTTTGACTGACATTTCTTAAGATAGGTTTCTATTTAAAGCCTGATTATTTGGGTAAACAGGCAGGCTGATTTTTCATTCCCACTGAAATACAAAGAGATCCAGTGGCCAATATTAGTGACATAATTTATCCATAATTCTAAGCACTCCCAATAACAAACCAGAAAGCACAAAAATAGCTAAAGAAACAAGGCACAATGCAGCAACACTGTCTCTCTCACATCTTCCCTGGCAACTCTGGTGTCATCCACCAATCACAGTGTTCCTAAATACTGAGAACCAATTAATAAAATGATGTCACTCACCTTTTGATCATGGCCCGAGTATGCCAAATGCAGGGAAAAGAGTCCTTCAATACTGTCCTGTAGTTTCTGTTCAAGTCCCTTCCTGCCAGTGAGCAGCGGTAATTCCCCACAATTACTCCATCTGGGTTTAGCATAGGTACAACTTTGAATATGAAGAGATCCCGAAGGAGTTGAGCATCAGGGGAATCACTTAGGATGAAATCTAGAAAACCTCTCATCACCCAGGAACTGTTAGTTTCCCCAGGATGGACTCTTGCAGTCAGTATAATAGCCTTCTTTGCTGAAGCAGCACTGGCACTCTTCGATGGATTGGTAATAGTGAGGAGATATACTGTATTCCCAGCTAGACTGCTGCACAGAGGGCGAATTTTGAAATACAGAGAATGGAGTGGATTGTTTACCAAAGAGAATAGGTAGTGCTGCAGATCAGAATAGGTGTAGGGGTAGAAGTGAGCAAAATAGCAGGTGTCATGGCTGTATGGAAAGCAAATTGTCCAAGTGAGGCAATACAAGGTCTGGCCATCCTCTGTATTGTATTTATAATATTTGATATCACTACCTTCTCTCCTCCAGCCAATACCATGAAACTGCGCATCCATCTCAGAGTACAGGAGAGGCTTCATCCCCATGCTATAGAGACTCTTGGCTTTCATCAGATTAACAATCGAGAAGCGATAGGTAACATTCTTTCTAGTATTTTGTACTCTGAAGTAGTACCACTGTGTGTGCTTGCTAGTATAAAGATCTGTCCGCAATGTGAGTTCATACTCATACTCGCCTCTGCAATGCAATAATTATGAAGAGAAAAATGCATTAAAAACCAGCAGCAACCTCCCACTCCTGGGGAACTATGTAGCATAGGGATGGGCAACTTTGATTCTCGGAGGTCATGCTCCTGCCACTACGCCACTCACAGTAGCACCAAAAAACAGTGGTTTACGAATAGGATTGGACAACAAGCTGCAATGGAGACTCAAAAGGGTCAGCTTCCACTTGAAAACAGTCCTGTCCTTGGGAGCAACAAAGAACAACTCTCATCCATCTTCTGTGTGACAGCCTTTCTTATTTTCTCCAAATTAACTATACTCAACTCTATAGAAATATAGAAGATGAATCACAGATGTTCAGAAACAGATCCTTTCCTTCATGCCAAATAAAATAAAATGGAGCTAGCAGATTCTTTGCCAGGTTGATATTTATTTTATTTATATCCCACCTTTCTTCCTTCCAAGGAACTCAAGGTGGTTTATATCACTCTCTTCCTCCTCCTCTCAATCTTATTCTCACAACCACCATGTAGGGTAGTTTGGGTTAAGAGTCGGTGACTGGCTTGAAGTCACTCAGTGAACACCATGGCTGAGTGGGGACTAGAACTCCTGAGTCGCATACTCTTAACTACTACACCATACTGGCTCCCAGTGGGCTAGGGACTGGCAATGTATGGTTCTCCAAATGTTTTGGCCTATAATTCCTATCAACCTGGATTGCATAGCTAATGGCAAGAGGTGATGGGAATTGTAGGCCAAAACTTTAGAGGACTGCAAGTTGTGCCAGGAGCTCTTAGGACTGCAAAATTGTGTGGTATACGACTATGTCTTAACGTCACTTGCTGAATTGGACATTATCTAAGAACCATGAAGGAACCAGACTGGAATGAAGTGTGAGACCTGCTGATCTGGATTAGTTAGTACAAGAATGAATATAATATATGACTTCATGTACACATATTTATGAAAGTACTGGTGATTTGGGGAAACTAACATTCATACTTCAGTATGCTAGAAATAAGATGAAACAACAAATTCACAAATAAGGCATACTAGAGGCATACATAATTCCAATGAGGTACCTGTGTTTCTCATAAAAGACCTGCACAGCAAACAGTGCTGTGTTATCTCAGACTTTAGTCTAACATTTATAGCACTTTAAGGTGTATGTATTGAGAAAGTTGGTCAGGGTGCCTGCCAACAATACTACAAGAATGAATGGCATTTGTAATAATTTACCATATTTAAATACAAATCAGGCATAAAATATTCAGTACTTTATTATCCTCTCTAAAGCTGTGTGATCTGTGAAAGAATGTACTAGATACATAAGTTGTGCTTGAAGATCTAAGACTTCTGCCATGTGTACTCTATTTCTTAAACACAATATGAGAGATGCCAATGCAAGAACACAGTAAAAGCTGAAGAATACATTGGTACCTCGGCTCACGAACGCCTCAGTTCACAACTAAATCGGGTTATGAACAGAAATTTCATGAAAATTTTGCCACAGTTGGCGAACTCCGCATCGGGTGACAATCGCAATCATGCTTGCCTTCCCTGCATGGGTGCAATCACGGTCGTGCTCAGGGGGGGGGGATGGAGGGGATGACGGCCGGGGGGGGGGGGGAGATGACCACAATCACGCCCATCCTCCCTGCTCAAGTGCAACAGCAATCGTGCCCATTTATGGCCACAGACGCACTCCTGCAGGGAACACAGGCGTGATCGCGGTCGTGTGGGGAGGGGGAAGATGGCTGCGGTCATGCTCGGGGGTGGGGGGAAGAGATGGCCACGATCTTTGTTGTTCTTTGTCACTTTGCTTCAAAGTTTTGTGAGTAAAAAAAAAATAGTTACAGAATGGATTAACTTTATTTACATTGAACCTTATGGGGAAATTTGACTTGGCTCACGACCAATTTGGGTTGCAACCAGAGTCATGGAATGGATTAAGTTCATGAGCCAAGGTACCACTATATGTCAACTGATCAGCCTAGGCTTTTTCCTAAAGAGCTTTTCTGATTTCTTAGTCCCAGATAGCCCCTTGCCCCAGAATAATTTCCCAGGTCCTCTTACTCACACCCTGACAGCTTTCTGAAGATTTCCACTCTCAAAACGTGATTCAAACAACAGTACAGTGTCTTCTTGATCTCTTAAGCTGACTGCAGCTGATTTGATGGTATCTCTTGGTCCTCCAACTCGGGAACTGGTAAAATAAGTATCCTTGCTTGCTGCCAAAGAAGAGGCATTGTTGTCAACAGAGATCTGCAGAACTAGGTCTCAATTGTATAGTAAGTCTATAAAGTCCATATCCAAATGACTGAAAAGTACTGAGCTCCCATTAACAAAGAGTACTGAAAACACAGTAATTTCAATTTGGCCTTCACTGTTGCTATTTTCAAAGAACCAAACAGAACCAAAAAACATTGTACTCCTATTAAGTGTTCTTCCATGATAACTAAGTACTTAAAAGATTGGGCTTTTATCATGCCATCCATTTTAAGCTTTTATCATGCCATGCCTACCTCATTCACAGAATTTTGAATTCAGACAATAGCATCTTCTGTTCGTAAACTGTTTTCCCCACCATTTTTTCATCCCTTCTCTTACCTTGAAAAATCCATCAAGGAAGAAAAATGGCACAGCTACATAATGCTTTCTAATTATTAGTGTTAAGACTCTTCCATCTGGAAGCATCCATACTTGCCTTCCTCAGGCTGCTTTTCTATCTTTGAGGGAAAGCATGGGGTATTTCTATTATTTTCCTCTTTGGTAGATAAGCATGTAGGGGAGATTTTTAATTGGATGTGAATCATCTATTAATCCCATCTTTTAGGATACCTTTAGCTGTTAGGTGCTCAACCAAGCCAATTCCCACTCCCCCAATTTAATTAGCCCATGATTGTATGAACTGTATGCCATGTGCAAGTCACCCTCCAGTTGGCCCAATTGTAGGTTGTTGTGTGATGTGCAAACCCCTCATACTTTGGGTTTTTCATTAGTTAAACAACCAAAAGTTATTGTTAGAACTGATTGTAGATTAGCTTTGAGTTACTTAACTTAGCAATCTGTGACTGGGCTGATCAGAGACTGATTATGGAAAGCAGAATCTCTCATGATTAACATGTAGCCTGGCAAATAATAAAATAATTAAACCATTTGCCACTATTATGTCTCAGGCTATTTGGGGGACATTTTAATTAAAAAATATTTTTCCCTTATGATGTACAAGCTCATATACTTATCCATACCTGGGAGATCCCTGAATATAAAGAAACCATACTGTTTTTGTGTGGTCCTCTGTGGAACTGACAGGCTTGGAAATTCTTATTAGAGGGAATAACTGAATGTTGCAGTGGGCATCCCAACCCTCATTTAAACCAGCATATCTGTTCTGAACTCCAGTCAGCTTGAAATGGGAGCCCTGTAATGGTCTGCCACTGGGGTGTGATTCCAGAAATGGGGAAAAGATAGAATATATTCCCCCCATTCCTAACCTTCCCCATATAGCACTACAGAGCTGCCAGCCCAACATTCAAGCATTTCATGGCTATATGGTATAAGGTCGGAGAATACAATTCTGGAAGGGGAAAATGGTTTCCTTTGGTCTACTCTTGCTTTAACATTTGTGTATGCTGTGTACAGCGAAAGGATTTTTAACATCATAATGTACATCCACACAACCCTAACCTTACAGTCTAATGCTTACTTATAAACTGACAAAATTTGAACAGGTTGATTCCATCTTTTCTCATACCCTGTTTTTCTTTTTTCTCTTTCTACAAAAGTTACAAATGAATATTCCATATCTCTACCACTCTCAGGATTAGGCAACATTATACTCCCCAGATGTTCTGGGCTACAGGACCCATAATCCCTGATCACTAGCCATGCTGACTGAGGCTGGTGGGAATCACATTTGGAGACTCACACAGTTCATCTGACAGATGGTTTCCTATATTTAAGCCACTAGCATTCAGTAAACTCGAGTTTAAGGCAGTTTGGGGGATTAAGAAAATTATTTTAATTTATAAATATGTACTTATGTATATTAGAGGGTTCCTAGAATGTATCAAAACTTCAGCTAATAAAAGGACAGCTATCATTTGCTTCTAAACTGAAAGGCACCATATATTTGCTATTAGATTTATAATAATTTCAAAATATTTTTAAAGTCAAGCTGAAACTTATTTTCAGATATTACATTTTTCAAGCCTGCATTATTCTAATTCACTGGAACTCATATCATATACTATGTAATGTAAGCATATATAAATGCAAATACCTGGATCTATGAAATAGACAACTGTTCCATAATCTTCTCCCATTACTTCTGGTGCAAATTCATTTCCTGCTGGCTGATAGAAAGGTTCAGGTTCAGGGGGAACCCACTCTAATTTAAAAAAAACATATTGTTATATATTTGTTTTAATTGAAATGTTTTTAGTACTTGAAGACCCAAAAGATCTGAAATATTCTCCCTGCATTCTCTAGATTTTTCCATTCCATTCCAAAAATGCTTTGTAGCATGACAAGATACACAAGAAAATTGGAAATAATGAATATGAAATTATTACTTAAACTTGAGAAAACTATCTGGATAGTAAAAGGCTAGAATCTCATTAAAGAGAAATATCTGTTAATAGTCACTTCAAGATGAGACAGGACTTTTTATATTTTCATTAAAGACCATTATGAGAGGAATATGATGATAAAATCTGAACATCATACTAAGTTGTAACACATTGTTAATACATAGATGCTTTCCAAAGTAAATTCCAAGGTGAATTCACCCAAATGAATAAAAGGTGAATGACCTCAGTTTATACATCTATAGATAAATACTGAAATACTATTTGGCTTCTCAAATACACCACTGGGGTAGGCAGTCTTTTAGGGTCCTCAAGCACCTTCATAATGTTTTTTCATGGCTGCAACTGCATTTGCTCTGTGGGCATTTCAGCCTGCAGGAATAGTCTCTTTTCTTACTCCTTTGCCTGAATTCTCTTGAATTCCCCTTTTTCTTATCTCCCTTCCTCCTCTTCCAGATTTCTCACCTTGGTGTTTTTTCTTCTTTCCTGTACACTGTCCCTACTGCCTACCACTGCTACTGCTTCTTCTAGCCTCCCCTTCATCTTGTCACCACTTCAGCCTCTTCCCCATCCACATTCCCCCCACATCAAAAAAGAAGCAAGTGAGAAAATTGGGAAAGAAAAGTCTTGACCTGTCAACTAGCAAATGCTTCCCAGTTAAAGGGAAATTGTACAGATGGTCAAAGAACTTGGCAGGCACCAGTACACTTGCAGGCACTTTGCCAATCCCTGCTTTTCATTATCTTTTTTGATTTCCTTGTTAGAACAAACAGTATGTGAAATGCATAATGAAATCCTGTAACTATACTAGAAGTTTAAATCTAGGATCTATATAACAAATTTTGAATTGCTACTTCATGGAGCTGTCTGGAAACTGGAATAATGTTTTGGTTTTGAGTATAAAAGCCCTTTAAAGGATAACCAAATATTATACAAATTAAAATGTCAGTCCAAGAGACTCTAAAACTTGCAATGTTCATTTCAGTGTAAACACTGTTCTGTGGATTTGTGCTAATGGAAAGGAACTTTTCAATCATGGATGTCATACTGCCTAAATTTACGGCAAACTTTGTCTATATAAAACATTAATCCCAAGCCAAAACTCAGATTACCAATGTGGTGAATACGATCCTCGATTACTTCACATTCTATTGGCCAGAGTGGAGCCAAGATTGACTCTCTACTATTAGGCAGAGAAAAAAGATTCCGAGGCTCTCGTAAGCGCAAAACACCAGGACCCTCTGGATGGTCGAGCATAAGTTGTTTGCTTTTAAGAAGTGTTGTCTCCATCATAAGTGAACCTGCCAAAGTGAAAATTGGCAAAGTGCTATTAATTTCTTTGCAGTTGCTCTAATAGGAGGCAACTGTGAGGGCTTAAACATGCTTATCATTCTCAGTACATAAATCAATCTCTTACATCAGGCTTACAGTTTACTTACAGAGTAGATTCTTGCCTGAATTGCTTCCTGATTTCTCTCTCTTGTGGAAGTTGCCTAATTTCAACATATGATGAGAATTCCTTTTCTGGCTCTCAAGAGGTAAAATAGGATTTTGAAACACATTTACCTCATCTAAAAAGAAACATTTCTAGTATTATTGTGGAAATCTATTTACATGAGCCATTTAAAATTAAATGGGCCAATACAGATCCATTATTGGGTCTCCAATTATTATAGTGAATCAGTATACTGGCACTTAAAATTCAAGAAATAAAACGGAAAAAATAACATAGTAGTATAAAGTCAATTTTTATATCTGCAGCATGGCTTATTAGTATAGCTGTCATCTACAATATGACAGGAATAAACTATATGTTGACTTATATACATAACTTGTATAAGATTAAAGCAATTGAGACAATGATCCTAAGTATACCTCCTGGGAAGTAAATTCCATTGAATTTGAAGAGAGTTACATCTGAATGTTAGAGAGTTAAGAAGTTAAGTTAGTGCTTCAGAACAGAGGTGCAAGGCAGAAAAGGACTCCTGTGTCTTATATTCTGCACTACTAAAATATAATTTTAATATTGCTGTTTCCCAGTATGTTTTTCTCACTTTTTAAGTGCACAAGTTTTTTAAAAAGCTGATCAAAGATTAGACATGGTTTCTTTTGCACAGCTGAAATACATGGCAGTCATTCCTGAATGTTCAAAAGATGAAACCTGGCAGTGAAAAGGACAAAGTCCAGAAAAGCCCTGCGGTGAAGGCAGAACTAATGGATATAGAGCCTGATAAATAAAACAATCAGAATTAAGATCAGTTCTCTTACCTTTGAAATAGCCATAGTATTGGAGATGCTGGTACATGAAACGTTCATAGGGCTCTTTAAGCTATTTTGGGAGGGAAATGTCTGATCAGTTAGAAAGGCAGCATGTTTTACTTGCATCTCATTTACCAATGCCTTTACATTATTTGCTAATACAAGATTAAAGAAAAAATGCCAAGTGTAGTGCTAAGACTAAAGGTAATTCAAGATCAAAGTGAGAATATTGCAGGAGTCCACAAGTTACAGCCAAAGCCTCAGGACAATCCTGTTTACCCTTTCTCTACTAAAAAGATCTGAAATCTCATCCCTCTTCCCTTAATGTCCTAGTTCATCTGCCACCCAACCTATACCTAACGTACCAGTCTAATGAAAATCTACAATTACACTCAGTGCTTCTCTACATGAGGTCTTTATTGTGTGCTCAGACTCTCTCATTCACAAAAGTTTGTGGGGTCTTTTCATTATGTCATTCTCCAGGGCTTCTTCCATGTTTTTCAACCATTTTCCCATGACATTTCTTTTTTACTAGTATTATAGCTGACTTTCCTTGCTTTAAGATTTCAAACAAGAAAGACGAGTGTATTGTCCCAGTTTTGCTTTACTGCTGCTATAGAAACCACCAGGAAAAAAGGAAGTACTTTTCCTTCCATAATGAAAACAGAAGAAGCCTCAGTAACGCAACATGTTAAATCCCTCTGAGCTTCAAAGTGATTGAGTTTATCCAGCCCCTTTAATGTAAGGCTTACAAATTTGATTTAAATTTTATACTGACCAGACCCTCAGGTGCTGGGTCTGCTGGACACATGCTGGCTCTGTCTGGATGCCTCCTAAATAAAAACAAAGAAAAGAGTTCTATATCATTTACTGATGCTTTTTTGTTACATTTCAAAACTCTCTCTGTGCCTCCCCAAAATTAAAACCCTAATATACAACACAGCAACACTTAAAGGAAACCCTTTAAAAGTTTTGAACAGAATAAAATCAAAGTTAAAACAGAGCAAAGGCCACTAGCAGTGTAAAGATCTAAAATGTCATATCATACTTAAAGAGAGAGAGAGAGAAGCTATAAGTGAGCCTTGTCTTCTGCTTGAAATACCAATATCTGATTATCCCGTCATTCCCCTCTCAGTAACATCAGGCATCAGTGTGGATGGGTCGGCGGGAAGCGAGAAAGAACTATGACAAAGAAGGGCGACGGGCACTGGTTTAAATGGGACAAAGACATGAAAAGGAAGGCAGAGAAAGACACTTTTAAACTGTGGCCTGTAACGTACGGGCAATTCCTCTCGAAAAAGAATACAACACAACTAAACGAATGCATATTGCCTACCTAAAGCTGACGGCAAGCCCTCCTTCAGATCCCAACGATTCTGACCCAGGGGACTGAAAGGCTTCTATGGCGACAGCTGTTTTGTCACCGGCATCAAAACCACCTCAGGAGACGCACGCAAAAGTCGCGCGCGCCCGGCTTTCATCACCACCCGCGCGGGTCGCTCGCTCGTGGGCCGCCCGTTAATGACCGAGCCTAAGCGAACAACAGTCGCCCAGTTTCGGAAGCGGGCAGCAGGACGCGGGGCTCACTGCCGGGCGAGAGCGATCCTCACCCCCTCTCTAGCCCCCTCAGGCTCCGCTTCTTTCCGACTCTCTCCCTCTCCCACTTCAGACACAGACACACACCGCAGAAAGGGAAAACGGTATCTCAGCAACTAACCACGCCGAACGAGTTTGGCGGGGGTGGGGTTTATTGTTCATTGGTCCGTCAATGTGGAGTGGCAGCTGTATGAGCCATTGCTTGGAAGAGAAAAAGACGCGCCAGGGAATGGGAGCCTCACTCAACTCGTTGCCTGCCAATGTGGGCCGAAGAAGATGATTGCGGGACGCGGGGAGTGCATTCCTACCAGGGACTTGAAGAGATACGGAAAGTAAAGGCACTAGGAGCAGGATGAGGTGCGGTTAAATAAGTGTTGCTCTTGCGTAAGTTAACATCTGAAGCGGGAACTTTCCAGCGATGACTCTCCTTGTCGTTCTCGAAGAACATGCGTCATTTTTCTGTTCCCAGTTGCTGGTTAATCCAGGTCTGGTCTAGTCTACACGAGGGGGACAGAAATGGCAGAAACCCTTGAGCAGTGTTTTAGCTAGGATTGGACTGGAGTCCAGGGTTCTGGAACCTAAGGGTCCTCCAAATGACCGCCCTGAAAGCCATGGGTGATGTCAGCATTGGGCAACAGAAGTAAACTCCATTTCATCGCTGTAGTCATGATGGTTGCTATTCTGTGAGTTCAAAACACAAAATAGCTCATGCTCAAGAATTGGTTTTGCTTTAAGTCAGGGTTGGCAAATGGGTTTTTTATTAAAACGTCAGGAAAGCAAGGAATGGCAGTTGTAGGCAAAGAGGTGTGTGTTATGTGCTTCACAAATGAAGTAATGCACATGGCTATCTAAAATGCCCCATCCACCACCATTATACTATCAAATCTGGAGCCTAAAACTACTTAGTTGCACATAAGACTAGTATGAAAGTGTTATGTTGAATACTAAAAATGCTATACAAATACTACTATTTGGAAGTTCTAGGCATCTTTGCATTCCAAGGGAGTACTAACTAAAGAAGTACCTCCTTTTCTACAGTCAGTGACGGGGGGGGGGGGGGAGGAGCAGTCTATTTAGGCCCCATAAACCAAAACAAGACTTGGAAAAAGTTGCTGTGCCTGGTAATATCCAGCCCCTAACTTTTCTATAAAGTTTTTTCTACTTTATATTGACATTTCCAACAATATTCTGAAATCTGCAAAAAAAGATTTGGGTTAACTTGTACTTTTTGAATTATGAATATTTGAATGTGTGTAAGTTATACTGAACACCATAACAAGGCATATTTGGTACTCAGAACAACATGAACCTCAGTGCTGTATAACTGAGGTTTTTCTCAGTTCTCAACTGCTGGTCATTTAACTGTACCATTAATAATAGCAATTGCATCAAAGAATAGTAAGGAAAGTTCCGAAGTATAAAAAAGAATTTTATTAATGTGTATGTACAAATTTACAAAGCCAGAAACAGGAGAAATACAAACAGCATTCAACCATAAACTGCCTTTTCTTTCAGTTTACAGAAAATCATTACCACTTGATTCAGGTTTTTAAAAAGCAAAGGAGAAGACTCAGACATTCACAGGCTGGATAAATATTCAACCTGGCTTTAAACATAGACAAAGACCCTACTTTTCCTGGAACTCAACAACAGGAGCTTAGAAAATATTAACTGACAAATGTTTAAATTTTCCCTCTCCTCTAGCATATATCCATTTAGTGGGAGTAAGATGGGGTAGAGTGCTGAGCAGCAAGTAAAAAAGGAAGTGGGTCCTCCTTACTCTTACTAGGGCACACTGCAATACCGCTCATTCAGCACTATGCCAACACAGGGCTGTTCACTGGCCAGCAGCAATCAATGTAACAAAACAAGGATGCTGAACAGTGAACAGCCTCATGCTGCAATGTGCTGAACTAACTTCTTCCTGCCTCAGAATGCCAATCAGTAAAGGCGAGGGGACTGATCCCTTCTGCTTTGTCAGTGATCAGTGGCAGCAGCTGCCTACTATGTCCCATTCCACCTTCCTACAACAACACCAACAGAACTACTGGCTTGTTCCAGCATCTAAAGTGTACTGAGATTATTCTGTGAGTAATGTTACAAGTGAAAACACCCTAGAAAAACAGTAGTACTGATACAGATTTAAGGTCAGAAACAACAGTCCATTTTTTGAGTTAAGCAAGCAGTAACAAAGAACAATGTAGCTAAGAACCAAGGTATGGACAAAGATCAGGAATGGAATGAGGGGTTCAAAACCTGCAGTTCTGTGCCAGATGTGAGCAGAAAGTTTGTGGTTCATTTGTCTATTCAGTAACACCAACCTGCAAATGCTGCAAATGGAAATTACAGGTGAGGACTTGTAGAAATATTTTTGAAATAAATGAAAAAGCCCCTTTAGGCTTACAGAGGAGTGGGAATACGGAATTTGAAATGGAACCAGCCAAAGTGCATCAATCAATTCTTGGTAGCAGCTCCACCAGGGAACTGAACTGAATGATATTCTAGCTTTGTCTGAACTGGGATTAGGAGCTGCTTACAAAAGGAGTGGTCAAGCCTATATTATTTCACAGGCCCATTTGCCAAATATACCTCCAGAAGGATTCCCAAGTCCACACAATTTTTCTGTCAAATCATTCAACTGAAATAAGTATCCTCAAAAAATTACAATTTATCCAACAGTAAAGGTTCTGAACTGTACATGTGTGGGTAAAAAAAAAGAAAAGAAGAGCTCTCATGTGCTTGAAGTAGCTTTCCGCCTCTTCAGTCGAGCTCGCCAGTCATCGGGCAATGCTTCAAAATTTGCATTTCTCTCTGCCATACCACTGTAAAAGGAAGCATACGCAGGAAAATTATTCAGCTAACCAGTCAGCCCAGAGGGAACAGGTCAAGATCTTAAGAGAGGCAGGGCTCTTTTATCCAGAGTTATTTCAATCTGTGACAAGACATACCGTAAGGAACCTGCTTTCCTACACATAAAATGCATGTTTACCCATTCACTATTATATTTACCCATTCACTTGTATATTAAGGCATGTTTAAATGGTAAATTCTCAAATAAATATTCTGACAGGCAATATTGGTTCAGAGATAACACCACAACCTGGGCTATATGAGATCTTTCTTACTTCACAATTCCTTCCATCCCTTTTATCTAGCAATCTGAATATGTGATCAGAGAAATCCTGTGTACAGATAAATGAACCCAGTTTGAACATTTCAGTTCTCAACATGCAATAAGTAGGGGCCATGCCTAAGCCTGGGACTTGTTTTTGCTGTCCAAGTAATACCTAAGCAGTTCCTAAAGTGAATATATAAACTGCTCCGAGCACATACACACATTCTCATCTGGCTATAGTAGCATTCTCTTTTTCTGAAGGGCATACCTTCACCATCTGCCTTTTTTCCTTTCAAAGAACTCAGGTTGACTTACCTAATTCTCCTCCTCCTCTTCATTCTCACAACAACCTGTGAGGTAGGTTGGGCTGAAGATCTTTGACTGTCTCACAGTCCCCCAGTGAGCTCAATGGCTGGGTGGGAACTGGAACCCAGAACTCCTGAGTTCTAGTTCAACACTCTTTACTACACCACACTGGCTCTCTACACTCTCTCTATGTAGATTTGTTAAAGATGCCTTATTTTGAAGCAAATCCTTCTATGTGTAATGTTGTATTTGTGAAATGACACAGCAGAAGGTTAAATTAATCTTTCAAGGAGTACTTCTTAACTACATACAACTTTTATGAAATATAGAATAGTAGAGTTGGAAGGGGCCAGAGGGTCATCTGGTCCAACCACCTGTTCCATGCAGGACTCTTAAGTTAAACCATCCCTCTCGGGTCCAGTTGCATCTTGAATGCCTATAGGAAAACCCATAATCTTCCCAGGTAATTGGTTCCATTGTTGCTCTAACAGTCAAGAAGTTTTTCCAGATGTTCACCCAGAACCTGGCTTCCTGTAACTTGAGCCTGTTATTCTTTGCCCTGCATTCTGGGATGCGTGAAGAGATCCTGGCTTTCAAGTACTTGAAGAATGCTATTGTAGCTCCCCTCAGTCTTCTCGAGGCTAAACATGCCCAGTTCTTTCCATCTCTCCTCATAGGGCTTTGTTTCCATTCCTTGGATCATTCTTGTTGCCCTCCTCTGAACCCTTTCCAGATTCTCTCCATCTTTATGAAGCTGTGGTATCCAGAACTGGATGTAGTACTCCAGATGAGACCAAATCAGTGCCAAGTAAAAGGGAGCTAGTACTTCATTTGATTTGGAAGTGATACTTCTACTAATGCAGTCTAAAACAGCATTTGCCATATCATGCTGACTCACATTCAGTTTGTGATCTACAACAATTCCAAGATCATTTGCACTTGCAGTATTGTTGAGCTAGGTATACCCTATCTCTTAATGATGAATTTTATTTTTCCTAGGTACAGAACTTGGCATTTGTACCTACTGAATTTCATTAATTTGACTTTAAAATTACATATTGAAGGGTGTCTATAATGTATAAAATGGAATAAATAAAAATAGTAAGGTTCCCCTGTGCCCAAACACAAGGAATTACTGAGGCTGTACTGTCACTGCTGGAAAAAAGGATTGCCCTTTCACCTACCAATCTCTCTTCTTCCACTTGGCTCTTTTGGGAATTTTGTTCTGTTTCCTGGCATTAGGCATGATGACCTTCTATTCTGCCTTGCAAGAAGGGGCAATTACAATGAGATTAAGCTAAATTTTGAAACTGAAACATACAACTATGTGCTGATGGTCAACATTGCCCAGAAAAGCTGGCTATATTTCAAAACTGCCTCATACCTGATTAGCTGCTGCTGTTTCCATTCTTCAATTCGCTTCTGTGATATCACCTCCCGATCCTCATCACTAGAACTGGAGTTTTCCTCCTCATCCAGTTCCCGCTGAATGCTCTGCCACTTCTTTACAAGAGATGGCATCTTTGTCTTGTTCTTTTTTCTCTGTAGCAAAATATTTAGCATGCTATCATTGTCAGAGCTCAACTTTCATGGAAGGCTTTGTTCTCTGTCCTGAGAACAAAGCTTAAGTTTGTTGATTAGGATAATGTACTACTAGGTTGGAAGGCTGCTTTGTTCTCACAGACAAGAAGGAAAATGGTATCCTGCCAATTCTTTCTGGTTAGTCTCACACTGGATTGCATCATGCCAAGGGAACAGAAAAACCCAAAGGGATGGTCAAAGAATAGCTTTTAAGTTGCACCAGTTCTGATCTCATGGAAATAATGAACCTCAGCTACTTAAACTAAGTATATAGCCAACTTCTCTTGTGCACCACAGAACAAGCAGTTTAAGTCTGTGCGCACACACATTCGCACATAAAAATGCATTAATTTATAGAACTGAACCTGTAACTGGCTAACAGAGCACACTTTCCAGCACAGAAGCAAAAGACAAGTAACAATATTACAAGACAAGTAACAGCTTAGGTCAGTAACTCCAAGGTTACTGGTATTAGGTTTCTGTAGAAGTGGAGCACCTATATACCCTATGAATATTTAGATCCCATGCTCTGAAACTGTCAGGTTATCCACTCCATTTCTGCATCACACAAGGCCAGTTCTAGAGTCTGATTCTAAACCAGCACAGTAAAATAATGCACAATTACTCCTATACACATCTTGTCCTGTTTTGACCCAATGAGAGGAGATATAGATTTAAGTACTTACCTTTCCACCTCTCCTAAGCTTTTTTGACTTCTCTGGAGGCAGTGCTTTAGGAGCATGTGGAGGTGGTGACACCGGAGGCGGTGGCGGTGGCAGCAGAGGCGGCTGTTCTGTGACACTAGTGGCAGAAGGGGCTCCTTGTGAAGAAACTGGCTGTGAAGTGTTTGCAGAAAGTCCAACTGGGGCACTACACTCTGAGTAACTTACAAGTGCTGGTTGTGTTACTCCAAGATAACTCTGTTGCAAACTCAACCCTGCAGTCTGAAGACCTGTAACAACAAGGGGGGAAATGGGAACTTTTACAAAACTCTGCAGTGGAGATCAAGAAGCAAAAGAGAATCAGAGGTATGATACTCACCTGTACTCAGTACTGATTGGCCATAGAGCACTGGACAGCTTCCAATAGTTGCTGCTCGTTGCACCAGCCCAGCACTCATTTCAGAACATTTTCTTTTTAGAGATTTAGCTGAGGGAGGCGCAGATATACTGGTCTCAGAGTTTGTCTGAAAGCAGACAAAAGCCACTTAGTTTGGTTCTTTCAAGTAGGCTCTGTAAATTGTCATAACACCACACATGCATGTGCGCATGTACACACAGAGGCCATAACACTTATTTGCAAATCTAATCTGACCCTGATAAGCTGTTCCCCATCTGCTCCAAAGGCTACACCTCATCTCGGTTTCATTTTCACAAATACTTTAAGAGCTGACAAAACATCTAAACATGAGAACATTCACTTGTGTACCGAACTGTCCTTCCCATAAACCTTTAAAAGCAAGCACAGATGGTCTCCCTTTAATATGTGAAAATGTCCTGTTGTCTTTCCCCAACACCTATACAAATTAACATTTTAGCATGCACTGGAACATTAACATTCTATGCTAGGACAAACTAAACATATGGGAAGGGTCTCCATAATCTCAAAGCATTCTGAAATACTCAGTCTTTACACATTGGCAGTATCTGGATGCTCAAAAATACCTCAGATAGGGATTTTTATTGATTGACTATTCTTGTAATATGCCAGAGTAGTAGCAGCAGCTGCAGCAGTAGTTGCTGTTAATGTTACTATTATTGTTGTTGATGATTTTATTTCTCTACCACCCAATAGCACTGGGGTCTGAAAGGCAGTTTACAGCAGTAAATAAAATAACAAGTACAGTATTAAAATAGATAATAGAAACATAAAATTACACTGCAAAACTTGTCAATGAGGGAATCTGAGCATCGAGTGACAAAAAATCAAGGAGCACCCCACACCATGAACCTGCTCTTTCAAGGGAAGTGTAACTCCCTCCAGAATAGGCTGAACATCCTCCATCTTGTCAGAGGAATCAACTAGTTTTGGGAGGTTGCCTTTGATGCAAGGTTCAACACTTTCGCTTGCCACGCCCATAGTGAGTGGGCAGTGTTTCCTGCTGGCAAGTGTGAAGAGCAGCCAACCATCCTCCCTAATTGGAACTGCAGGAGTGGCCATTTCTTTCTCCTTCACCAGCTCCAAGGTGTTGGGAGTGTGAAAGCTGCTTTGAGTGCACATTCTTAAGGGATGCCGGCTGGTATCCAGAAGTCAAGGAGGAACTTGAAGAGGTGCAGGGGGCCGTGTGATGTGGACCATTTCCAGACACTGAGATGAGAGAAGTGGAGACATTTATCCAACCATACCCACAGTCAGCTATGCGTTATTTTAACGCATAACCATGTTCCAAATGGAACCCTTGTTGCAAGCAGGAAGGGCACCTTCCAGAAGCAATAACCAACTAGTATGCTTCCCTGCAGTGGCCAAAGAACAACTATTTTTGCCTTGGCCAGCAATGCTAGTTTAAAGTTGTACCCCCTATTGGGATGAGTACAAGTTTTTGTATGAACAACTCAAACCAAGTGAAGATTATTTGAAAAGCAATTTGTAGTCTTCTGAATATAGCAAATTTACTTCCTCTACCTGAAATAGTTTTACTAACTTACCTCCTTTCCTTTACAACCTTTATCATCTATTTCCACACTATATAAGGATCACCCAAAAACAATTTCTGATATAAAAAGCTGAGTCCCTTATTCAAGAGTTTTTGTAATTGGCTCTGTCACCAACTAGAACGGCTGAAACTGAAATAAATTTTATTTTTTTTACTGCTAGTGGAAAGATTATCCTTTCCACTAAGATTAGCAAAGAGAGCAAACCTGGTTTAATCATAAAGGTGGCAAATGATTAACCCATCATTTGACTGGGTTGTGTGCTGCCACTAATTTGAATGTGCAACATCTGACCATAGGTTATTCTGTAATGTGAAAGCCCAGAGTCTATGGGTTAACTGTGGATCAAACAACCCACATTTAATCTAAGAACTAATCGTAAGTTAATTGTGGGTTGTTTAATCCATGATTAAATGTATCAGACCAACATCCAATGAGAGGGTACATATTCAAAATAGCAATGGCATATAACATGGCAAATCATGAGTTCATTAACTACAAGCACCACATTTCACATCTAATACTACCTTTTCCAAAAAGGAAAAAAAACCAGTGATACTGTATGCACTAACTCACTTGACTGTTGGCAACTACTGGTCGGGGAAGAGGTTTCAGGACAGCATCTTCCTCTGTTCCTGGTGCTGGTGGCTCCTCATCTCCTTCATCTTCCATCTCTACCTCCTGTATTTCCCCATCCTCTCCTGGGGGTGGTGGGGGTGGTGGGGGTGGAGGTGGTGACTCTGGTGGAGGTGGCGGCGGTGGTGGCATTTCCAAGGGTAAAGGGGGTTGGAGTACAGGAACAGAGGGTTGAAGCATAGTCCAAAATGGACTGAGAGGCACAAGAGATGTAGCTGCAGCTTGACTAGAAAGAGAGTCTTTACCAACAGAACCTAAAAGAAAGATACATAAAGTTTTGTTTATCTTCTCATCCTAACATTTTTTTTTATTTTATGCATTCCTTTCTCGAAGGGAGACACATTTCCTTGGAAAAGCTACCCTTTTGATATTAATAAGCTCATTAACCATCTCCTCAAACTCTAAAAAGTAACCTGGAAAAATTACATCTTCCCTCTCAACACAGTGCAGCAGATATGTTGTATGAACCATATATACTGATGGACTGAAATCTCTAGGGTGGATATAGAACAGGGATCCTCAAACCTTTTGGGCCAGTGGGCACATGTGGAATTTTGAAAGAGGGCTGTGGATGTTCTCACAAACAGCTTTCGTTCTTTATAAAATGGCTTGGCTAGTCATAAAACACCCATTTACCACAAGGTAAACTGGTGAGGCTCAATTATAACAACTTGCATAAGAACAAGAACAGTACAAGGCAAAGGTGAGGTCTGAGTTACAAAACAGAAAACCACTCTTCTGAATAGTTTTCTGCTTTTCACATTCCTGAGAGTCGGAGACAAACATTTTGGCCAGGAACTATAATGCAGAGCTGCGGTCTGAGCTTCAAATGCTACAACACCTATTTGCCCCCACCAGTCAAAGAAGGCAATCTAGTGATATTTGTAAAATGCACAAACAAACAAAATACTCAAAGAAAAGACAAGACAACACACAGACATCCCTCCTTACTCCCTGCTTACATTTTCCTTTATTCTGTGCAGCAGGGCATGTTTCAAACTGAAGCACTAGAGTGCAGCAATCTGCCATTTGTGTTTTCCAAGAATGCCTCTGAGACCCATGTGGGACACAGAGCATTTTTTGACATTTCAATGGTACTGAGGACTAACACCTGCTTTGTAGCATGCTAGCCTCCCACTTCATTAAAAAGATAAAATACAATCTATAAATGCAAAGATGCACTGAGACTATTAAGCATAAAGGGAGGTGTCCATGGCTATCAGGTTGAAGATACCAGGTACAGATTAATGCTCAGCTGACATCACATGCGCTTAAGTAAAACTCCACTCTGCCTAACAGAATATTTAACACAACTGCCTTTCTGCATTACATACATCCAACCCACCTGCTATGACATTCTGCCTTCCTCAAATCAGTCAAATAAAATGTGCTTTTTTCCAGCAAACCCACCAGGCCCAGTACCTGCAGTGTTATCAGTAGATTCCCCAGACTCTGTTTTCTCCTTCAGAGCCTGTTTAGGAAGAGCTTCTGCTTTATTCTCTAGGATTTGCCCCTCCTCTTCCTCCTCCCCATCTGGGAACTCCCACTGGGATTCGCCTGATTGTTCGTTAACATAGAAATAGCGCCTATGATCCCTAAATCACAAGAAAGAAAACAAGGCTTTACACTCTCATCCCTTCACTGACACAAAGATGTAGTCCTCTCCCGCGATAGCGGAGTGCTCTCACAGGAAGAACCTCTTGCAGTAGGACTGCTGTTCACAAAGGCAACAAACAGCTTTGAGGAAGGGTTTGCAAGATGGGCTTACTCCAAACTGTTTGTGATGCTGGCTCTGTGATCACAGCCCTGACCCTCCACTCCAAGAGTAGAGGGTTAAGCGAAACAGTCGCTTGTGGCTGGTGTGCAATTATATGTTCAAGGATGCACTAGGAAATAGACTTTTTAGGTAGTCTCAGGGTTCATTTCTTTCCAGAATAGCAAAAGAGGAACAGCCCAATTTAGGAAAGATGGCTGCTTCCCCATGGACTGCTGCAGTCACATTTATGATACTCTTGGTGTCAGACATAGTGAATTGCTACTGAGAGGGAAGAGGATCTGGGAGCTGAAAAACAAAAGAGCAAAGATTTCAAATAAACAAAAATAATCAAGAAAACCAAATATAAGAAAAAATAGTTTGGTCTGACCTGCTGGCAGGAGATAGTTATCTTGTTCTTCGTTGAGATCCTCAGTCAAGTGAGCTTTCCATAAGGGCACAGACGTTACTTGGGAGCGGAGTTCCTGAGATCCTGCAATGTGCACAGAGCTCTCGCATGCGCGACCCCCCAAGCCCGCCCTCCTTAGCGCATTTACACTCGAGTAAACACCAGCTCTGTCCAATCGCGGAATCAAATCCATTTCAAAACACTTAACAAAGACTTTATATTGCTCCAATTTTTGTGGCTCGCTCAAACTCTGTATGTATCAGAGGCTCTCTGCCCGCTCAGCACCGCTAAGTGCAGCTGCTCTCAGTCTCCAGATAGATGACGGCACGTCGGCAGGTGGTGATGGTCACAAATCATGTCTGAGATGTCAAAGGTGAAAGGTGAAAAGGGGAGAAGAGAGCGTACCTGTCCCAGTGGCAGGACCAGCCTTTAGGGGCGGCGTTTATTTCATACTGTTTTAGCTGTTCAGCTGCATCTTGCAATTTGCGTTTGAGGTAATTTCCTTGGAGAGCTCCTTCCCGCCAGTCTGCAATACGGGTCTATGACAGGAAGACAAAGGAACAAAGGAAATGATGCAAAACTTATGGATACCTGGCCTCAAGCATGCGGTATTCCATTGAGTTGTGCAGCTAGTTATCCAAAATAGGAGCCAGTACTGCTGACAGAGAACATGATCAAGCAAACTACATATAGACCAAAAAGGTCTCAGGTGTAATACTGGGCTGGAGAACTCAGCTGGTGTGAGGGAGAGAAGTGACTAGCCACACCAGAGTACTTAAACTTCCCAGTACTTGTCATACTGCAATGCTGCCAGGTGTTTGGCTCCCTATATTCTATAATTCATTTTCTCTAAAAAGTAAACTTAATTACCTCAGTCTGCAACAGGAGCATGTGGAAGTTAGAGATGGATTGTCTACTTATGCCCAAGAACTCCAACTTGCTTATCAACATGTTAGCCAGCTCTCCAATCTGAAACTGCCACAAGTGAAACAAGCAGATCAAGAATATATTGTCAGTCACAATGCTTGAAGCCACTGAAATACTGTCTTTATAGCCAGCCAATATCCATTCCAGCAACAAGATGAGTCCTCTGAAGAGTAACTCACAACAGCAAAATTTTGAGGCTAATGAAAATAGCAGCCCATTCAAGCCTAGTCAAATACAGAAAGTATGTTCCATTTCATTTCAGCAACCATTCTGCTAGAATGCCTTGAATACCCATTCAAATGTACACATGGATAACTAATATGTCCACTGCAGTCATTTTAAATTTATTGTCACACAAAAAACAAGTTGTTCTATTTTCCAATGCTAGCATGTTCTAAAAACAGCAATGCTTAAATTAAATGCAGCAATTAAATAACAGTAATAATAGAATTGGAGAAAACTCCAATATATACAACTTAAATCTGTTTTGTATTGTTAGTAATACATCTTAATGTCATGTGTGTCTGTGCCTTGTTTTTCAAATTCCCATCAAGACAGACACTATCTGTTTAGGATATTACTCACACACCTTAAAATAAGCAGCAGCACTGGAAGCACTTTGAGAGTAATCAGAACCAGAATAATGTTAGAGATATTTTGCATGGTAAACTAAAAAGCTTGGCACCACCCCAGACAAGGTTAGGTACTGATAGTAGTTCCAAGGGCCAGTTCATACTACAGATACAGGAGAGGGTTCAAAATGAATTGACCCTTTTCCCCCCAATCCAGATGGCACAGCACTATAGTACAACTAATTATGCACATGCATTCTCTATATGCCTAGATTGCAGAGTGAATGATCAATTGTGTCTCCAGTTCGCATGACTGCTATGTCCACTGTGGCTTATTTAAGCCATAGTGGGTTATACTGTGTACAGCCATTTTGAATGTTCAAGTCATAATGCACTGTCACCACAGCTTGCTGAGTTGATTGATGAGAATGGGTTGTTGACATGGTTATCAAACCACACAAAACCTGGTCTGTTTCAGTTCTTCAGTGGTTTGTTAACCATACCAATAACCCCCTCATCAGACATTGTAACCCAGGGTGGTGGTTAAGAGGGCTGGGATGGGAGATCTGGGTTCTAGTGCCCATTTGGCTACCAGTCACAGACTTTCAGCCCAAGCTACCACAGGGTATGAGGATAAGATTCAGAGGAGAAGGAGAATTATGTAAGCCATCTTCCTTGGAAGGAAAAATGGTGGGATATAAACTTAATAAAAAAAGCCACAGCAATAGTGAATATTCAAAATGTCTGCTAGCACACACCATGGTGGACTACAGTATTCAGGTAAACCAGGTCACTGTCCTATGGACTATCTTGCTGATATAGTGCTATCTCAATATGCAGAATGTGATTGGTCATTGTGTAGTAAGAAGGAAGTCAATCCAGTTTGAAGACATATATAAATCTGCCCAAAGTAATGCTATCTTAAGTACTGAAGGAGAAACTGAAGTCTACTTGACACACCTTTAAGTCCTGCTCCTCATCTTCCACTTTCAAAGTCCCTTGTGTTTTCACTTTGTCTTGCAATTCCTCTGCAGCTGGTTCATTTTCAGAGTTTTCATCAGCCACTTCTGGTTCTTCCTTCACTACTGATCAAAAAGCAAGAAAGGAAGCCTTCAGCTCATTCTTATTAAATTCTCACCGTACCCTCTCTTTTACAATGGCTTGATACAGGAGAATAGGAAGATATGGACATGGTAACAACTCTTGCATGTGGTCCCAGCAGCCCAGGCATAGCTTTTATGTGTGAATCTTACCAAGCTAAAATTAACCCTTAGCACAATAATCTGCCATACCTGTTTCTCCAGGTTCTGGACTTTCTTGCCCCGTTTTACTAGACCCTCGACTGTTGGATTCTGGGCTAGCAACTCCAAAGAGCTTCCACTTCCCTTGCTTGGGTAGCAGTCGCCGTGTTAGGTCTGACTGACTCCCCTCAGAAAGAGGACTTGAGCCTGAAATGCTCCCATCACCTTCTTCTAGAGCTCGCAGTTCCGCCTATATATAAAAGACATTATTGCAGTATAACAGAAATATACTCATGCGTTTATTCTCCTAAGTATCTATCTTCAACTATGGCACTCTCTATTTTATTTATTCTTTATTATAGTGATTTATTTTTATATTGTTAATTCTCCCTCATAAGTTATTGAAAACAACTTACATTCAGCTAAAACACAATAAAATAAAGAGATGGTATCAGAAATGGTAGACATGAATATTGCAGAAAAAAATAGAATAACCCAAGGTGTGGTGAAGTGGTTAAGAGTATCAAACTGAGATTCAGGAGATTTGGGTTCTAGTTTCCACTCAGCCACGGAGCTCACTTGATGACTTTGGACTCTCAGCCCAAGCTACCTCACAGGGTTATTGTGAGGATAAGATTGAGGAAGAGGAGGAGAAATACATTAAGCCACCTTGAATTCCTTGGAAGGAAAATGGATGGCAAATAAATAATACCCATTCTTCCCATTACATAGACAAGTTGCAATTCCTGCTGCTCCTCATCCCTGTCACTGCCTCTGAAGCTGGATATAGCAGCAGGGACAAGAAGGGATAAGAAATATATTTTTTTTAATGATTGTTAAACAACCCAGGAATTGCAGGATAACATGCAAACCAGATCAGTGTATGTATCATGGGAGAAATGGTTCGTACAAGACAATGTTTGTCTTAATTTAAGTTGCAATGGGAAAGTCATTCTTTCAACCCCAAATGGTGGTATAAAAGAAAATAAAAAGCAACTACATAATGCTACAAAATTAAACAAACAAAAACTGAACAAAGGATGAAACAAACAGAATTAGCAAGCAACACCTTGAAAACCTAACTGAGGGCAGGGGGGGTTACCAAAACTGAAGACACCAAATGCTACCAGTATTTATCACCAATGCTCTGGTATCATGTAAATTACCCCTTTAAATTATTTATATGTTGTAGCAAAAATGACCCCTTCATGGATCACTGCCTTGCCGTGACGAAGAGGCTTGTATAGTGCAATGAAGCTATGAGCTATGCCGTGCAGGGGCACCCAAGACGGACAGCTCATAGCAGAGAGCTCTGACAAAAGGTGATCCACTGGAGAAGGAAATGGCAACCCACTCCAGTATCCTTGCCATGAAAACCCCATGGACAGTATCAACAGGCAGAGAGATATGACACATTTCACATGCTAGCAAAGTTATGCTCAAAATCCTACAAGCTAGGCTCCAGCAGTATGTGGACCGAGAACTACCAGAAGTACAGGCAGGGTTTCGAAGGGGGAGAGGAACTAGAGATCAAATTGCCAACATACGCTGGATCATGGAGAAAGCTAAGGAGTTCCAGAAAAACATCTACTTTTGCTTCATTGACTATGCTAAAGCCTTTGATTGTGTGGATCACATCAAATTGTGGCAAGTTCTTAAAGAGATGGGAGTAACAGGCCATCTTCTTTGTCTCTTGAGAAACCTATATGCAGGTCAGGAAGCAACAGTGAGAACTGGACATAGAACCACTGATTGGTTCAAAATTGAGAAAGGAGTTCAGCAAGGTTGTATACTGTCGCCCTGCCTATTTAACTTATATGCAGAACACATCATGAGAATGGCGGAGCTAGATGAATCACAGGTTGGAATTAAGATTGCTGGGAGAAATATCAACAACCTCAGATATGCAGAAGATACCACTCTAATGGCAGAAAGTGAAGAGGAACTAAAGAGCCTCTTGATGCAGGTGAAAGAGAGCGCAAAAGTTGGCTTGGAACTCAACATTAAGAAAACTAAGATCGTGGCTTCTGGTCCTATCACTTCCTGGCAAACAGATGGGCAAGAAATAGAGGTAGTGACCAATTTTATTTTCCTGGGCTCCATGATCACTGCAGATGGGGACTGCAGCCAAGAAATTAAAAGATGCTTGCTCCTGGGGAGGAAAGCTATGGCAAATCTAGACAGCATACTAAAAAGCAGAGACATCACCCTGCCAACAAAAGTGTGTATAGTCAAGGCTATGGTTTTCCCAGTTGCAATGTATGGCTGTGAAAGTTGGACCATAAGGAAGGCTGAGCGCCAAGGAATTGAGGCCTTTGAATTGTGGTGCTGGAGGAGACTCCTGTAAGTCCCTTGGACTGCAGGGAGATCAAACCAGTCAGTCTTAGAGGAGATCAACCCTGACTGCTCTTTAGAAGGACAGATCCTGAAGATGAAACTCAAATACTTTGGTCACCGAATGAGAAGGAAGGACTCAGTGGAGAAGAGCCTAATGCTGGGAACAATAGATGGCAAAAGAAGGGGACGGCAGAGGATTAGGTGGCTGGATGGAGTCACTGAAGCAGTCGGTGTGAGCTTAGGTGGACTCCTGGGAATGATGGAGGATAGGGGAGCCTGGAGGAATGTTGTCCATGGGGTCATGATGGGTCAGATGCAACTTCGCGACTAGCTTAGTAGAAATGACATAGCTACCCTCTTCTTTAACGTAAATTTCAAGAGAGCTTATATCATTTGAATATTAGGAAAAATTGAATCAATTAGGAGCTGTGATGGACTTCACTGTGCAAGAGGTCTTTATGCATTAGATGGGGATGTTCTAGCTCTGGGTTCCCTGCATTAGGGAAGGATTGAGATAGATGGTATACAAGTCCCCCTCTAAATCTCTCTATGGACGCAAGGGAATAGAGAAAGTATAATGGATAATACTAAAATTTGTTTGAGGCACTTTTTGACACATTTATAGAACAACTCATAAACTGTCAGTATCATTCCAGTATGTGTGTTGTCATGCAAGAGAACAGTCATTTGATGCTAGAAAACTGTTCAAAAATTACATCTTTTTCTTAAGGCTCATATTTTAAGATAGGGTCATCAATTCCTTCCCCCAGCAGCTGAATTCAACACTTCCAAGCTGCTTCCCTAAACAATGTGGAAGAAGAACTATCTGTATTCAAAAGGGCTTTGCCTTGTCAAAGACTGGTGACAGATGTTACAAATACCAAGCCCTTCCCCTTTTGCAGGTGTACCCTTTTCTTTTTTTAAACAATTCCGCCTGAGACTCACCTTCTTCCTCTCCAATACCATCTCCAGCTCAAGAGTATCCTGTTCCTCTTCTTCCTCTGCACTCTCCCCTGACTGCACCACACTACACAGGTCCTCCTGAGAAGGGTCTTCACCAATCTCTCGATTGCCTTCTAGGGGCTGATCAACAGCCACTTGTTCCACTGCCACATCTTCTTCCATTAATGGCTCCACCTCTTCCTTACAGATAACCTTCCGTCTCCAGCGCTCCTCTTCCTCCTTCACCACCTCAGGAAGTAATGGAGCCAGCAGTGATGCAGCCACTCCTTTTTTCTCTTCCTCATTGCTTGAAAGAGCCTGGATACCTTCATTCACTTCCTGTGAAGTAAATGAGATTTTCCTAAAATGTTAGCTTCCTAGAGAAAGTCATGGAGAATCCTCAGTGTTATGTTATATTGCTAAAAACTTCCAGAACACTTGAGGCTAATGAGTGATAAAGCCACACATTGGACACTGATGCAAAGCCTGCAAGTCACTGCATTCTGCATCACAAGGATAATACGCATTCCAGCTATCAGAAGATCCAGAATTTGCTCTGTGAGATCTCAGTGTGTCAGAGAGAATCATTCCCCTTGTTTTTTGCTATAGCAAGGATGGAATCTGCTGTGTGATATTTTGAAAGCTACAACTTCTCTTTGAAGAACACATTTCTAGTTCTAATTGTTATCCTGCAAAGCTTAGAAATGTGTGCCCAGTATTTACAAAGGTTCAAAAGACAAAAGCCTATGCTTAAGAGTTTCCAGTGACCCAGACATGAAACCTATGCGGAGAACAAAAGCTCTATTCATAACCCTAATGACTGATATACCTTTAAACAGGAAAGCCAGAGCCCTAGGAACTTATACATGCAAAGTACGTACTCCACCACTGGAACTACAGAATCCTGATCCCACCACCCACCTGTGGAGGACTCTTCTGAATTATGTAGGTGTAACAGCATGTAGCTACCATTTTGTTTTAAAACTGTGACAATATGATCTATGCTAAGATACTATAGCAGCAGCTCCTGTTTTATTTATTTATTTGGGATATTTCTAACCCATTCAATCACTGCATCTCTGGATGGCTTACAACAGATTCAATAAACAATATAAATATGATACATATGCCAAACAATAATAAAACTAAATAACCCACGACTGAAATAAAAGATAATTAAAATCTATTAAACATTAAAATATTGGGTGAATAAAAAGGTCTTCACCTGGCACCGAAAAGCATATAATGATGGTGCCAGGCAGACTGTTTTGCAATGCTTGTTATCCATTCTTGAATATTAAAAAAAGCAGATTCACATACATAGAAAAAAATATCCTCTAAAGCAAAGAAGAGTAGATGCTTTTTATTGAAACTGAGCAAAAAGAATAAATATGTGCTTTAAGCCAACCAAGCTGATACTAACCTTCTTTAACTCACGCTTCACAAGAGTTGTCCTACTTCTAACAGTGCTGGTGGCGGTGGTGGCACCTTTTCCTTGTGAGGTTATGTCTACAGCCATCTGGTAGTTTTCATTGGCTTCTGTTACCGAACTAACAGAAGAATGGGTTGAGTAAGGGAAGTTTCAAGGACAATGAATTCAGTCTCCAATTCAGTGTGATTTTTACCTGTGCTGGTAATGTTGGAGACCTTGAACTTGTGTTGCAAGATACTGGGGTAGTTCCCAAGTAACCTCATTAGTTTGAGTGTTCCAGTAATAATAACAGCCTGTGTTTTCATCCCAAACTTCCTGCCAGTCTCCCATCTCTACTCCCACTGCAGGAAAGAAAATGAGACTCCTTTTAGCAAGCTTCCTTCCTTACTGAGTATCCTTATATTTCTCCATGAAATTAGAAATAAAGGCTATTACTGCATTCTTCCTCATCACTCTCAAATTTTCCCCCAACCTGACATTGACCAGATGCCTTTAATAATTGTTGAATGCCATAAAATAGATTAGCTAATAAGGCTCTCAGTTTTCATGTTCACATTACAAACCACATATTCAGTTAAACAGAAAAGACATGAAAATTAACAGACTAACTACCCTTACTTTTCCAGCAGCATGTATTTAAATAAACTGCTATGCAGTAACACAAGCTAGCAAATGGAGCTCACCTCCTGCCAGTGAGCACTGAGTGTCATACTGCCACTCGGCCACCTGGTCCGTTCCATTTGCAGTTGCCAAAACCTGACTGGTGGCAGATTCCTTAGGTTCTGGGCGTGGAGGAGTTGGAGGTGGAGCACTGGTAGGAACAGTGGTATCAGCAGGCTGGGAAGGAGCTGTAATAGCATCGATTTCCTTTTAAAAGTAGAAATAAGATAAGTCATTATTTCACTCAAATAACAAAGGGCACAATCCTATCCAAGTTCAAATAGGAAAAAGGCCTACAACTCCCAACATGTCCCAGACAGCATTGCTGGGAATTGTAGGTCTTTCTTCTGAAAAGGATTTAATTATTGGAAAGCAACAAAAAAGGCTACTCAGCCTTAAAGGTTTTAACAGCTCTAAATCTTTTAAAACACCTCTCCAGCAGAGCATTTTATTCATTTCTTGTTAGCCCTTATTCCTGATATCTATTGGCATGAATTTTCTGAATGTTCTATTTCAGTTCAGAGCAGAGTTAATTACAAAACCAAAACAGAGATTCTACTAACCGCTAGGAAGTTGGCCAGGGTACTGTCAATGTCTGTTGAATTATTGCCATTTGCATCTGCGGACTGTGCTGGTTTCTCAGATATCTCACTGTCTTCTTCATCACTGTCTGCATAAGCACCAAGTAAACATAAGCCACCTAGAACAAAGGTCAACAAGATGATAGGTGCAGTCCATTGCAGCAACATGCTGTAATCACTGAGACTGAGTATTCAGTTATTGGATTATTTTTATTGGTATATAAATATCCTCAGACCAAACAAAATAACACATTGCCTATGACTGTCATTTATACTGTTGTACAAGAAATGCCTCAAAGGGATCCCATAGCTTTTATGGAGAAAGAGAAGCTTTTCTATCATCCTTGTATCCTGAAAACATCTTGCATTCCTTCACAGATCCTGTCTAAATGGCACAAATTTAGGGCACTATCAATTCTCATTCTATCATTCACAAAGACTAAATAATGGATCAGTTTAATAGCACAGACAAAGGGACTAAATATAAGTATGCAAACTGAAGACAAATGGAAAGCAATGCTGTTTCAGATTACAGCTTCACTTGATTGCCTCCATACCAAAAAAGAGAATAAAAACTTTTATCTTAAACATACTGCACCCATAAACAAGTGTTTATACTGTTATTTGGCTATTGCAAAAATTAAGTCAGAAAACTTATGTTTTGGAAAGGCTGGGATTGGAACTCCTAATACAAACTTTAGCTCATTGTGGGGGGAAAAGTTGCTGCTGCACTTTGCACTGGATTCTAGATCATTTTACTTTCCTCAGGAGAAAGTGCTGATATTCCCAAACAAATTTTGGGAGGTCACTTCTAACATTATTATGCTAAGAAAGCATAGTTCATTTATCCTGATTTTCAGAGTTTGCACAGAAACATCTGGCAAAGGAGTGGCAACCATGCAGTCCTGCAAATGACATATTTATAGTCAAACTGACCCAGAAAGGATGGGTTTTTTTCATATTAAAGACTGCAGTGATTTTTCTTGAGTTCAAAGCCTAGTATTTAACAACCTGTTATGTTTAAGCCCTGACTCCATTTCAACCTTGTACAAAATCATACAATAAGCCACAGTGAAAACACCCCTGATATTTCCCAGGTAAAACACAGGACAAAACATCTATTAATAAAAAATAATTAAAATATCACTCACACAAAAATGGTGGGTTTTGTTGCTATATGCCAATAGCTTGACCTCTGTAGCTACAGGTTACAGTAGTATTATAAGGGAAATTTGGCAAGGTGGTACCTGTTGGTTTGACAGCTACAGGCCCAACAGGCATATTAGCCTGTGGTGCGTTTGGGGTTGTCCTTGAAGCCTCTTCAGTCACTTCAAATTCATCTGGAAAAAAATCATAAGTAAAGAAGAAAACTTCAAAAGGATACTACAAGAGCTAAAGAAATGGAAACATGAATATGCACTTGCTTTAACTGGTGGGATGCAAGAGAACAGGAAAATACTGGGATAGTTTAATGGTGCCACAAAACTTCTGTTAGATATGTTTTATGACTATTTATTGCTGCATACTTTTACAAAACAACAAAAGAGAAGTAACATTGTTAATGTAGCTTCTGTCAAATATTTTCATAAAATGTAAATTCTAGAGAAAAGCTTCATATAAGAATATCTGGGATTCTAATTAAAGTCCCTAAAGTTAGGGACATCCCTGCATGTACTGTCTAGGTCACTCAAGAAAAGCTGAAGTTAAAGAACAAAAATATCTATTAAGCATATGACCAAACAGATTCACAAGGACAGGAAAGTGAGTTTCCTTTTTGTGTCTCACCAGCCTGTTCACTGATGAATGATCAATATCAACCAAATACCAAAATGTCTGAACTTAAAATGAGATACATTTTTCAATACTAATTTTTATTTCTTGTAAAGCATTACTGAATCGAACAGCATAAAAAGCCTGCTTTTATTTCATAGCTCTACAATTAAAGTTTGTGCATTTCAATTCATTAAGCTTTAAGCTTTAATTGAGCAATTTATCAATTAAATTATGCAGTCAATAAAACATTATATACAAAATGCAGTATTACAAAATCTAGAAGATTAATAGTATATAAAAATTAAGCCTTATGGTAGCATTACATAACAATAATTCCCATAAAACAGCACTTCCATAACGTATCAGCAATTATTTATAAAACAAGAAGATTCCTACCATAACAAAAGCAAAAGGAATCAATAATTTCAAAAAGACTACGACTGTGCATAAATAAGGTATAAATAAACTATCCTTGCTAAAGGATTAAAGACCAAACATCTAAGATATAATGTAAGAATATGTTTAGAACATATGCCCTAAACTAATTTGCTACAATTTTAAATTAGTTTTTGAATAGTAAAACTAACTCAATCACCCCCATATTTTCCCTATGTTAACTCTACCACTCATACCACATTACTTCTAACAGAATCATCTTACACAGTTCTGATAGTATCTAAGGAATTTTACAGAAGATAAGTTTATAGTGTAAAACATGTGGAGTTATTTTTCATTTACTGCATGGGATTCGAAGACTCTCCCTCATTTTCACAGCACTTTTACCCTGTACTTCATTGCTTGGAAATTCTTGCCCCAGTTAGAAATCCACTGCAATTCTAAGTGCTACAAAGAATTTAATTTCACAGTGTTCAATCTCTCCAGGATAATTCTTGTAATATTGTTAATAACTAGACATAAATTTCTTAAATTTCTTTTAAGATAATTAACAGATTAGACTAAGAGCTGTGCTCAGTGGTGTTCCACTGACATTGGGAAAAAAGAGTGGGTGGTGATTTTTGCTGATTTCCTTCTTGGCCCTCAATCCTTGAGACAGGAGGTAGGAGAACTTCAGAAAAGAGCATGGGAGGTAGCACTGAGGCTACAAGGGGAAGGAGGAATTGAAAGTGAAAACTGCCATCCCACCCACTTCCTGCACCAGGTAGATGAGTGTGACCTGGAAAAATATCCTCCATCTAATGGTAGTTGCCTGTGCAAAAAGAGTGAGAGAAATCTGTATTTAACCCAGTGTATTCAGTGGCTGTATTCTACTATAGCACAAACTCACTCCTCAGGTTCTATTTTTTAAAAAATCTGTCGAAGAGTCAACTTCATGTGTTTCCCCACTATTTCAGTAGCATTAAATTGTTGTATAGATGTACTCACTCTTTCATAATACACAACAGAGAATTCACTGACTGTTTTCCTCCCACCAAAAAAGCTAGAATACTAGGAAGGATACCTGGGTTGTTCTCTCCTTTCCTGCATTAGATAGGGATGGGTTATAACAACATCACCTCTACATGTAGGCTAGAATCTGCTAGAGCAAATGCAGTATCACAATGATACAAGAGTCTTTTCAATTGCAGTGCCACAACTATCAAATTTCCTTCTCAAGAAGGCCAGTCACAACTAGCCTTCTGAAAACCTGAAAAACTGACTCTTTAAGATTGCTTCTAAATACTGATATTGTATCATTTTATTACTCTTAAATGTTGTTTTTTATGATTTTAGTGTTGTACATTGTCTTATTTTTGCTGCCCTTTGAGATCTCCAAGACTAAAAATGTGGGGTATGAAATAAAGATAATAAATAAAATAAAAGCCAAGTTTACAAACATCTGAAAACCAGGCAAGATATAAATTAGTAAATAAATAAGACTGAAGACAGCCACAAGTAAGGGTCAATACAGCAGTTCTATGAAGTACACTGTGTTGGTACCAAGACTGCTCTGCAGACTAGAGTAAAATGAAAAAAAATCACATGTCAATATCTCCACCTGCCACTGTTGTGCACCAGAGCATGGGACTAGGTCATCCCGACTAAAATGACATTATTCCTGGCTAAGGTCATTTAGTGACTAAGCCTGAATGTTAAAAAAAAACAATGATCCAATAAAACAATAAATAATTACTTTGGGCTTTCTGTTCAGTGGGGTAATCTTATAAACACAGCTGCAGTGTGAGAGGGATAGGAGGGAGAGAACTTTATTATGCTCACATTCTTTTCTATAATGTATACAGTTTAAGACCAATCACACTAAACAGTAAAGGGGTCGTGTGCAATTTGAAAGATTTACAGTAAGACCCTATATTAATTTAGCTACAAGCTAAATTATTTCCAATCACATTTCCTCTTAAATTTTTTGAGGATTTTTTAACATTCAACCTAGTCTTCGCTAGAAGTTAGGACAGAATCCTTACGGGTATGCTGAGAGATGTAGGGCTTATTTCTCTAAACCTGCATAGGATTGCATCCTGAGGCACATCACCAAGAACAAGGGCGGACAGAACGAATGGAGCGAACTTAAGTTTGAAACCTTGACAGGCTCACTCAAAGTCTCGGAACAAGTTATGATTACCTAGCCGCGAGTTTCCCACTTGCAAAGTGGGAATAGTAATGACCCACCTCCCCGAAATCAGTCGGGCAGAACGAGATAAAAAGCAACTAGCGGCTACTGGAAACGCCTCATAAGACTGCAACGATTAAGTTGTCACCGTATGAGCACACACTGCTGCGCGGAAGGAGGCAAAGCCTGGACACACCCCTGTACAACTCTCGGCCTCCAGAACGGCCCCCAAACCGCCTTCCACCCCATCTCCTGGCCTGGGGCCCAAGGCTGTGGGGAAAGGCCACGGAGAGCGCCACTCTATCCTCCAGCGGGGCGCCAAAGGGGAAAACTACAGGCGCGCAGCCCCTAGGCCGCGCGGCCTGCCTGTGCCCTCACCCGCTTCCGATGCCGAGTCCCCATCGCCCGGTGCCGCTTCTTCCCGGCCCCCGCGAGGCCCCGGCGGTGAAAGCTGCAAGATAGGCCGCCGACCCACCGGCGCCGCTCTCGACTTCTTCCCCATCCAGGCCAGCCTTGTCTCCGAGCCGACACACAGAAGACGAATGAAGGCGAAGCGAGCGGCGCCTGGGCCTGCCAGCGGAGGGCGGGGCAGGGACGCAAGGGCAGCCGGGATGGCGGGGCGGGGCCTGCGCCAGGGCTGCGCGGCCCGGCGCGACTCCTGGCGGGCGGGCGGGCTCGCCTCGGTTCCGCTTTGGCGCTCGCTGGGGGCAGGCCGACCTGTGAATGTTAGTTTACTCTCCGTTGACGGCTTGGTATTCTCAGTTTGTCAGCATAAATCAATAAATGAAAGTAAGCGCCTTTCCATACAAAGCAGGAAAGTAGGATAGCAAAACAATGCATGACCGACAGCGTTATTTATCGTATTTATATCCTGATTCTTGAGGTCAGGTGGCATGGATGATTCTTCCACAACGTTTTATCGTCACAATCAATTCTATGAAGTAGGAGAGTGGCTGGGAGAACGTCATCGACGGTATGAGGGGTGGAAGTGGATTTGGATCTTGACCTTACCGGTCTGAAACTTACCTATTGGCATTATTTGTCCCTGATTACAGAATCTCGGGCCGGAAAACTACTTCAGGAGTGAAACCCATGTTGACAGCTTTCCATAAATACACAGATTAGATCAGTCAAAATCTAATGTAAAAGATTAGGCTAGATATTTATCGCCAATATTTTTATATAGAAAGCATATTTAGGAGAAGTAAAGCCATTGCAATCCTTGCATTCAGCTGTCATTGAAAATCATTAGACACCTACCTCAGTGGGAAACTTGCTATGGAATCATTCAGACAAGTGATTTTTCAAGGCAAAATTTAAAAATAACATCTAAGAGCCAATTTAAATTTTTCTGCAATTATGTACCATAATCACAAATTTCTAATGCCTTCACTAAATTCAGCTTGAAAAAAAAAAGAACACGGAGGAATTAAATGTGCATTTTCTTGCCTTTTTCAATAGCCGGTAACAAGAGAAAAGCCCCAGCTGATAAGGGAATTTACCTGCAACTATGACTGGTGTATGTCATCATTGTAAAAGTTGCCAGGTCTCACCTTTTGTGAATCTGTACAATCTTGAATCTCATTCATTACTGGGGGGGCAGTATATGGGTGTGTGCGCATACATGCACTTTGGAGAAAGAGCTTAACACTGTTCCTATATAGACTTCCATTTGGGCACAGCAGTTACTTTTCAGCTACAAGAACTAGGACATTCATTATCTCCTTAGACTATTCTTCAGACTTCTAAAATATCTAAAGAAAAATACAATTTTTCTCACAGGTCATAACACAATAAAACTAGAGCAAACCTTTATTTTTCTTGCTATCGCCAGCTGTATCTAGAAGTTGCATTTTCATCTGCCACATGCTAATACAGAAATTTGTGACTTGTCCTTTTGATATTCTTGCTTACAACTCCTGAGTACTACCCAGTGGTGAAGAATGGTGGGGGTTGTAGACTAAAAGATCTGTGGAGGCCTGTAAGATGCACATTCCAGCACTAGAGTGTACTTATATCAGTGGTGGAGAGCTTGATATGCTGCTCTGCAATCCAACTAAGGCTGTTGCCTGCACTGATGAACTTAATTCCCATTTAAATCATATATTCATTTTTATTTTAGCACTTATAGTCCACTTTCCATTTAACATATGCTGAATTACTATTGGATTATTGTAAGTTTTTGGGAAGTGTTTTACACGAAGCCAGAACTATTGTTTTTTCTTTTTTAAACTAAATGCATATTGCTACATAGAATATATCAGTTTTTGATAGGGTGTGAAGAAGTAATACTGTTGGCTGTTAATGTATATAGATGTACATCAGTATGATGTATACCAAGAAGGAATGTATATGCACACCCTCTGAATACAGAATTAAGCTGGAGTTCACCTAGCTGTAATTCAAGGTTGTGTTACATTGTTTACTACTAATCGTTAGGATCATTACTTGTGCAGCTATATGCAATCACATGCATAAACTAGCAACATCTGGATTTCAAATAAGATATGGTTGTAGTGACAATTGATATAGGCTATATCATAGCCCTGAAATAATATTTTTCCTTAGCAATGCTTCAGGAGCTTATAGACACAGATTTATAAAATATTTTCTCATTGCATTCTACCAACTCTTACAGTAATTTGGTGAAATATACCAATTTTACATGCCTCACTTTAACTCTCTCCCATGGGGAAATTTTAGGTCCATGGATTACTGAATGTACCAGTGGTAGCGAACCTATGGCACATGTGCCACAGCAGGCACGCAGAGCCCTGTCGGCATGCGAGCCAGGTTGCACCAGCATCGTCCCAGCAGCCAAGCATTGGATAACAGCACACACAGGGGCCATGCGCATGCTCAGAAAGGAGTAGTGGTGCCAGGTGATGATGTCACGAGCTGAGACACATTAGCTGCAGCAACTCTTAGCTTTGGCATGGCCGCTCAGTGTGCTGCCAAGTATATATATATATTTGCTTGGACTGGCTGTTTTCAGGTTTTATTGTAGAATTGGCACTTTGTGATGAATATGTGGGTTTTGGGTTGCAGTTTGGGCACTCATTCTCTAAAAGGTTCACCCTCACTGGAATATACTGTTTTCCCTGGGAGACTGACATGGGCACACACCTGGGCCCTAATTTCTGAAAATGGCCTCTTAGAAAAACTTAGAAATGATTATATGGGCTACTAGCAGAACTGTAAGCATCAGAGGTCCTACAGCAACCTTACAATTCACTGTCAATTTGAAGCTGGTGAGATGAGTAGTACTGAAAGCAAAGGTGGTGATAGACTGAGATGTTAACTCTTATCAGCTCCCTGTTAAGTCATTCAGTACTGAGGCCTGCTTCAAGCATCTATTACTTAAGGCAAAATCCTATGGAGTTGAGTGTAATCCATGGATTTGGAGGCTCATGCTCATTCATTGCAGAGTGGTTGGAGCAGCACAAGTGATCTTTACCTTCATGTTCCTCCAGATCTTCATTTTCACGGGAGTTATTTCTAATTTTCTGCTGGTGCCGTTTTAGAGGGGAAGGGAAGGAGGCTGGAGCAACGATAAGTTAGCTCAGGCCCTAGCTGCTCCAGAATCTTTCCCTTCTTGCCCCACTACAAGGTTGCTTTTTTGATCTCAGAAAATAGCTGGTGGGTTTTTTCTGCACTAGCTGGAAGGCAGCAAGGGGAGGGGGTATTGGATCTGCAATTCCCAGCTCTGAAAATATCCTATGGCCCTCCAGATATAGGTAAAAGATGATCAGTATAGAAATATATTATCACTTTTTAAGGTGATTAAAGGAAATTAAACTAAATTATCTAAAATCATGTCTTACTTTAGGGACTTTCAACAGTTTATCATGCAACAAACTCACAATGCTTCCTAAACATCATGCAGCTGATGCTTAGATAATGCATTTTTCTAACACTCCAAACAATGTTCTGTAAGGAAAAAAATTGTCAAAAATAACAGAAGCGGCACTGTGTCCACAATTTGACATTGCTTCAGTCAATTTTTCACTGGAAGAACATTGTCAGTACTGACAGGCATAGATTCTTCCAAGAACTGGTAAACAACTTACCATTTTCTATTAACTTACAGTCACAGGATAGGGTGATAATTGCTGGCTGAGATGGTATTAGAGGAGGCCTGCCTGGTGCAAAATTATCATTTTTTTTGGTGCCAAGTAAAGACTGCCCTCTACTGCCATACATTCACTAGTACTTAATAGCATATTAAAACATTTGTTAGCTGGTATATTATTGAATTTTTAAATTTAAATTAAGTTTCATATATTGAAATTCTATGTGGTACTTTGTAGTTTTGGTGTTCATGGACTGTGAGTTGCTTAGTGAGCTCTGACTATTGAGTGGCATAGAAATAATTATTTTTTTTATTTCATTTTGCCATGGAAACATCAGATCACACTTACTTGTTCCCTTCAAAATAGCCATTCCCTTCCCATAAATTATGTACAATTTCAAGCTATTTTGTCTTTAAAAAATGAGCTGGGGCTCTAACAAAGCTTTCATTTTATTAAAGGTAATTCAAAAACTTTTACAATAAATAAGACCACTGTTAGCGCCCATATATAATACAGTACAAGGATGATAATACAAAACAATTCAGTAGAAAGATGGTAGGAACATGCAATATACATTTTTCATTACCAGAAATCACTGCGATCCAACTCAGCAGACTTTGTTGAAGCTTAAATTAACTCAGTGTCCCCAATATATTAAAAAAAAGTCTATCATCCCCTGCTAGGGAATGCTTTGAATCATTATGAAAAAATAGAATTTGTAATAATAGCACCACCAGTAGTGCATAGGGCTCCCTATAACCCCAGCCAACCCATGCAAAGCAAATGCTTCACATATACTTCATGCAAGTTATGCTCAGTTTCTATAGTTCTCTCTTCAAGGGCCACTAGGCACAAGGTGATTAAGTGAGGTCACCAATCAAGGTTGTTTTGCTAGTTTCGACGATACAGAAGATCCTGAGTTGCCTTATTAACCTGTTTTTGGTAGACTTCTAATTTGTCATGAACCTTCTGGTATAGCTGAAAAAGGAAAGTATCACAATCATTTTCTTCTGTAGGCATTTCTCAGGAAATAACTGCACTTTTTTTTAACATTTATATTCCATTTTTAGTCATCATTGGTTCCCAAAGTGGCATACAAACATTAATTCCTCATACAATATATTGCAAGATTCATGGTCAAATGGTGTGGGTGTCTCTTTAATCCCTCAGCATTTGATGACATAGGTCAGGTTCCAAGGTTTTCCCTCCAGTGGAAGGCAGGAAGCTGAAGGAGCTACAGATGGGCTTGAGGGTTGTCTGATGATTAATATAAAAGTTCTATAAACTTCCTCCTTTGTGGTAAGATAAGTATCTCTAATACATCAGTTTTTATGACAACATTCTGCCTCACAGCAAGAGGCTTACATATGTGCTAGGTTTTGCTGGAGAATAGTCTTTATTTTCCTGAGCTGGTTCTTATCTTTATTTTTCAGGAGGCTTAGTGAGAGCATGGGTTGTTAGTATTTCAAGATGTTGTAAAGACAGCTGTGATCAAATTATAGGTGAAAGTATTTTCCCATACTTCACTTTTACCTGTTTGTTATGGATATCTCCAAATTCATCCTAAGCTGACAGATAATAGCTGCATGGGTTGATTTTGGCTTATTAAACCAAAAAATAGATAGGTCATAATATGCGTAAGCTAGGCATACAGCTGCTTTGCCACAATCTATGATTAAATCATGATGTCTCTAATTACCTATCATTTCTAATTTCATTCAAATGGAGAAAATGAGTCACCAACTTCAAAACAAAACAACTTCAAGCTATAGTTTAATATCCAGGCTTGTACTGAAGCTGGTAACCACTGTTTCCCTGTTTCAATTAACAGGAAAACTAGAGTTAATTAGAAACTTCCTTGGTTTCATTATGGTTCACACAAAAGGAGGAGCAATGAGGCTTCATGAACAAGAGTTAAAGGTTCTTGCATATCCCATTTTAATAAGCCAAGAAATGAGAATTATCCTCCTAACTTTCATTTACTGGTGACTTCTAGTAAAGACAAATTTGAGTTAAACAAGCCAATTCTGCTTTTCATTGACACTGTAGATATACTTGCCATTGTGTTATGGTGATTAGCTGTATTTTCTCCCAGTGCCTGAAGAAGCTGGTCAATTGCAGAATACGGAAGCCAAACTATTGGTGTTGTAGCTGATAATGGGAACTAAAAAGAAGATTAAACCTTTACTAGCACCAGATGGAAAAAATAAACATTTCAAGTTTGCAATGTGAGTAATCTATGTCTACATGCAAACATATATTTTGCCAACTGAAAAATATGCACCATAATTCAGCTAAAGTTTCGAAGGGCTTTGATTCTGAACTGAAATAGAAAAATTTGCCATCAATGTTCTGTATTAGAAAGAATAAAGGAAATTTATATTCCCACCTTTCCATTGTGATTGAAGTGATCAGGGTAGCTTAGTTATTCTTTCTATTGATTTTACATTTCAGAGCCAGTTAGAAAAATAAAGTTTCAGTGGTATGCAACAATAGCATCACAATATATTTTAAATAATACAGCAACATACATCTGAAAACACAACATCCAGAATCAGGAACCTGGGGGTATTAAAAATACAAATCAAATGAATTAAAACAGTTAAAACAGATACAACAAACAGTTTGAAAACAAGGGATCAATCCATGAAACTGGGCAGGCCAAATACTTTCCTAAAGAGAAAGGGCTAAATGACAGAAGATCAGGGAGAAAGAGAACTAAAAAAATCTGAGGCCTAGAGTCCCATATGCTATTTGTAGCCACAGAGAAGGCCTTCTTCCACATCCCAATCAGCTCCATTTCCAACACCAGTGGGACACTGAGAAGACCCAACCCTGTAAGATATCAAAGAGCATGCAGGCTCATGCTGGAGGAGGAGGATTAGTTACTAACATGAGCTCAAGAAATTTAGGGTTTTAAATGTAGTAACCAACACATGGAATTGCACCTGCAGGCTAAGTTCAAGCCATTGCAACTCATATAACAGGTAATTCGTGTCCCCACAAGATGAACATCCACTAAAACCTGCTCCAGTTGCAATCTGGGCTAGCTGAAGTTCCCAAGCACTCTTCATATGTAGAGCACATTGCTGTGATCAATTATGGATTTAAACTAAAGTGTCAAGTCCTATATTCTTAAACTGCCACTTGGGTCAAGGAATAGTTCCAGACAGTGAATCTTATTTTAATAAGGGAGTGCTCCTTCTATCTAAGACAGGCTATTCTCCAAATCCATTTTTCCAAATTCATTTGGATTACGCTTCTATTTAAGCATATCTCAAAATTAAAATTAAGTCTTGGATTTTGGTTTTAAGGTAGCCATTAGGCAGGAGGAAATTGGGTTTTTAAAAGTTTCATTTTGATCCAGTCAGAATTTAACCTTTTATATAAAAAAAAAGCCTGAAGTTTTTTTTTAGGGTTACAAATTATTTTTTAAAATGGAAAAAAGAGATGGAATATCATCATATAAAAACTAAAGAAACAGCCACTGTACCTCAATACCAAAGTAATCATGTCCTTTCCCAAGTAAGGCATCCACATACTCCAACACCAAATCCGCAGCTTCTTCCAAGAGGTCATAGTTCAAATAAAGGCGAAGAAGTTCAGCAGCATCTACCTCCTATACAGAAATAATAAAGCTCAGCACACAATGACTTGTATTGTGTCACAAAAATATTCTTCATATAGTCAAGTAGCCTGATGAATGACAAGTAGACCCCACTGCTAGTGAGATTTTCATGAACCCAACACAAGGCACCAAGCTGGTTCATGCATAGTAAGTAACCACCATAAAGGAATATCTCCATGGATCTCATTATGACACCAACCACCATTTCAAAAAATTCAAACTGTGTCATCACAAGCAAACCTGAAGTTGGGTGATTAAAAACTCATCCACAACTGTAAAACAGGACACAAGTTTGTTAACCAGTAGTCCATTTTGAATGTTCAAAGTGCAAAGCAGCAAGCCATGTGGGGAACTTCATCTGTGGTGGCTTGCAGTGTTGTGCAAACTAGGTCTCAATAAGCATAAATAAGTACTTTCAAAGAAGATAGCAAACTTGCTTCCAATTGCTACCTTCTCAAACTTTTGTGGGTTATTTCCTTTATTGGGCAAATGCTACAAACAAATGAACCAACTTGGTTATTGGGACTGAAGCAAATTTGAATCAGGCTACAAAGAAAATCTGAAACCTGTTTAATACATAATGTATGCAGAAAGCTGGTAACAAAGGGTCAGTTTTGTGTATTGATCCTCCTTCAATTTCAACTTATTTTTGCATGGATTTATATATTTACTTTGTAACTGTTGATAAGCCAGTTAGGCAAGGGCACTCCATGAGACAGCAACTTGTTGATTACACAACGATGGTATGGGCTATTCTGGGACTTGTATCTGCCCAGGTAGGAAGATAAGAGACGCCATGCTTCATCTGTTGCACTGTAATAGAATTGGAATAGCCTTTACTATTTACCAGTTACATATACAGACAAAAGCATATATGTTTCAGGCTGGCAGTGAAAATTTCTCCTCCCACAGTTTATGGATGATGCACAGAACTGGTTGAAACAAGATTTTGATGTATTACCTTTGATGTAAGGTAATACATCGAAGGTTTTATAATGTATTATATGTAAGGTAATACATCGAAGGTTTGTTACATTTTAGAAGAATTATATACGTATCTCTGTGATGATTTATCATATGATTTCCTTTGGAGGGGTGGCAGGCAAAGCATACAGCATTACCTGGTCTCCTTCGTGGTGATGACAGATGAAAACTGATTTGCAGCTAGCCAGTCCCATGCTTCTGTCAAAGCTGCTTCCCCTCCAAACTGGAGTTTAACACATCTGCAACACATATAACATATATAAAAGTAGTAAAACGCTAAACTTATTCTAAACAAAATCAATGAATTCTTTCCTTCCACGAAATGATACATGGGGTTATTTCATCATGAGCTTGGCTGGGCTGTGATGACAAAGACCACTTGAATAGATATTTAAACACAGGTCATAAGAACATAAGATGAACCATGCTGGATCAGAGCAAAGGACCATCTAGACCAGCACTGTGTTCCCACAGTGGTCAGCCAAGACGCCTATAAAAAGTCCGTAAGAGCAATAGCACCTTTCCGTTCATTTTCCCTTCCAGCAGCTGGTATTGAAAGTCATTTTTCACACCTAACATTTAATCCTACAATTCCCCTTTGTTTGAGCACTAGAATAGCAGTTCCCATCATTTCTAAAGTCTTGTAACTACTTTTGGAGTTTTGAGGAACTGCCATCACTTCATGCCTCTGCCCCCAAGTCAATTATCTTTCAACATTCTCCCAGTTGCTCTCCTGGCCCAGGTAGTGTTTTTGCATACACAGATACACACACATTTCTCCTTGAGGTCTGGGTAAAAGGCAGATCTAGTAGCAATCAATTTGGATGCTCTTCAATTTGCTTTCCTATAGCAGTCATCCCAACCACCCCATCAAATTCAGTTGGCATTGATATCTCTAGACCACACCGTAAAAGTAACAGATGCAATGTTAGTCAGTACTGTTATGACACAAACACACTAATCCAAGGCACAGATGCGCATAATTTTTTACATGGGATGCGATAAAAAATTGATAGAAATGTTTTAAGAAATCCCTGTAAAAATCATGTAGATTTATGTTTTTCTGCTATAGTGGCACTGAAAAGCACCAAATCCATGGTTTTCACAGTTCAGTCTATAAAAACAAAGCTCCCAGTAAAAGTAAACCTACAGGCTGTTGGGCGGTATAAAAATGTAATAAATAAGCCCATTTAAAAATATTTGATTTATACCCATTTCCCTACCAAGTAAAAGGACACTCAAAGAGATTCCATAGTATTTCATAATCCTTATCAGTGCTCAGATCTGCTAACTAACATAACTCATAACCTTAAGTCAACGGTTTAGAAATTATTTAAAGAAGACCATATAAATTTCAGATGAAAAAGTATGCAGTTTCAAATCTAATTTAAAGAAAATATTTGTCAAAACATCAACAAATCTTTTTGGGATTTCACCACTCGTGTGTGTGAATAATACGAATAATGTGTTACATACTTGAAAGTAAGTCCCTCAAACACAGGTTTTAAGGATAGCTTGTAGGTTTGGCAGAGGGAAATTGCAGTATCGAACAGGCCAGCCTGCACCAACAGGGCAACCAACTCCTTGGGAGATGAGTTTCCTGGAGAAATGACAAGCAGGATAACATTTCAGAATAGGTGTGCTCCCATTAACATTGCAAGTACACACGTATTGATAAAACCTATCTCAATTTCAACAGTAATAATTTAGACTGGGGTTCAGGACTTCAACCCAAGGACCAAATTCAGCCTGCCTGAAGTCTCTTCAAGGTTCCCTGCACAGCCAGGGTCCCTTGCTCTGGCCTTGTCCCCTTTCCTGACTGCCAAAAATTAAATGATTTCCCAAATTCTGTGCATTTCTCCCTATTCTAAAATACTGAAATGCCACCGAAGGCTCACTAGCAATACTAGTCACTAGCAATAAGATCTTTAGTATTTTGGTCCCACGCTTTTTGCCACACGTAACAGCAACATATAGTCTAAGAAAAATAACCAGAAGAGCTCATTTCCTGTGTATTACAATACCACACATACAGAGTATAAGTTGCTCACTGAGATACAAAGGCAATCAAGTAGAAAGAATATAAATGCCGCCCCCTGAGATCTGCGGGAGAGGCCCTTCTCCGGGAGCCCTCCATGAAGGATATTAGGAGGGTGAGTACTCGGAGGAGGGCTTTCTCTGTGGTGGTGCCCAATCTATGGAATGTGCTCTCCAGAGAGGTCCACCTGGTGCCGTCGTTATTTGTTTTTCAGCGCCAGGCGAAGACCTTTTTATTCAAACATTATTTTAATTGTTAATACTATTTATTTATTTATTTATTTTATTCTTGACCAGGTTGACTCAAATTGTATTGTTTTTATATTGTGTTTATTTTTGTGAGCCGCCCTGAGGCTTCGGCGAATGGGGCGGCATAGAAGCCTCCTAAATAAATAAATAAATTCCAACATTACCTGTAATAGCAGTTGTTGATGGATCATGCTGTGCCAAAGTTAGTCGTATGCGAGCCAACATGCATTCTTTTTCCAAATCCTGTAGCTCCAAGATTTCAATTTGACTTCCTGCTGTAATGTACCAAATAAAATGTATACAGTCAAATTCAAGTCTTTTGAGACTTTAGTGCATAACAGACAATATAGAGATTCAATTTAGCACTCACATGATAAATATGTAGTATACTAGTTCTGTTTTAGTCTCAAAATTTCATAAATGTTTCCTGATATTAGAGACTTTCCCAGTCAATCCCCAAAGCTAGTTTAAAGTCAAACTGAAGTAATTATTTCCCATTAGAACAAGATTCTTTAACTTGTTTTGGTATTATAGATTGGTCTCCTTCTTACTCTCTTAACAATTCAAAAACAACATTTTTAACATGACAAACTTAAGAGCTCCCATCACTTTTCTCCTCATAATACTACAGTAATGGGGAAAGCTGCAATTTTCAGAGTTTTCCTTTGTGCACTACTCTTAACAATAAAAGAGTATGCTCAATTTGACAATTTTATGTCCTTTTGGACCCTTGGGAGCCAAAAACCATTAAAGCTATTAAATCTTCCGGGCAACAGGCAATGAGCAGGCATAGCACCCATAATGTGTGATGCACAGAAACCACGATGAAGAACAAGGTGGATGACAAACTGGTGCACCAAATTCATATCAATGGGATGTACCATCTTGCTAGCATAAGCATGCATGAACACAGAAAAAGTAAACATGTGAATGAAAGATGGGTGCACAGGAAGGAGCATAACACATGGTAAATGCACTGCAATTATGAAGTCACAAAAACATATGTCCTAGAAAGCCTGCATGTCAGGTGTAACTTAAGCTGATCAGAATTAAACAGAATTTAATTAGGAAGTTATATGCATCACTCTGAAAACGCAGAATTGCAAACCACTTACTTGGGGCGGCAGCAGACTCTCCATCATAACTGCGCTTTGGGGATGCTCCTGGACGTTCATACTAGTATGAAAGAATAAACACTTTCAGAATTGTGCGCACTTTCTCCCAAGGTATTTTAAGTGGCATCCTCAATCTGTCAAACCGTACTTCAGCCCCATTCTGCTTCTAGTAATTAGAACTACAGAGACAATTTTAGACATGTGGCCAGTATCTGGTGAGGGTCTCAAAAGCTGCAGCAGTCATTGGGAAAGCATCGGCTATATCAACAGTTCCTTCCCATTTTCCCCACAACCCTGCTATTCCTCCTCATCAGCCCACCTATTCAAGCTTCCTTCTCCTGCTCCATACTTTTGCCACTACTGGATTATGCTGAAAACCAGGAAAATGGAAGTTGAATAAAGCATGCAGAATAGATAAGCACATTTGCTTCCACTATTACACTTATTCTGCAGATTAATATTATTTGGCTAATGTACCAAATAAATTTATACAGTCAATTTCAAGGTAACAGTGGTCCTCACCTTTAAAGAAAAAATGAATTTATACTCAAGCTATAGATACTCATTTTTCTCTTCTGCATCCTTGGATGCTAGAACAGAATACCACTTACTTACCTACTTACTTATTTAAACATTTTTATGCCGCCCCATTCGCCGAAGCCTCGGGGCGGCTCACATAGCCTCGGGGCAGCTCACACTACAACAATTTCTATTCCAATTTAGAAAGTGTAAATGTTTCTTACACATTTATGACAATGGCACTTAGCAAAAAGGCATAGCCATACAAGTATTTTGAGGCTGGAGTTTAGGATGGAAACCACCCATTCAGCTAGCAGAAACATAAGATAATTTTTACATTAAATTGTTCCCTTCGTCAGGTAAACAGAATCTTTTCTTGGTTTTTTCCTCTGTTTTAAATCCTTTACTTAACTGTGCCTTACTGTGCTTGCAAGTGCATTTTAATTGTATTTTATCCTTCTAATTGTTGTGAACCACCCAGAGAGCTTTAGCAATTAGTAGTAATAATGAATAGAAAATAATAAAAATAAATAGAAATGTAATAATAATCGTCAGGTAGCCCAAGATAATATTACTCTGAGTATTTCCAATCTCTTATCTACTTGCCTGTCTCCAACCAAATTCTGATTTTAGACATATGATTATATGCTTCTTCTTCTAGCTATTCATTATTAAATTTCTAGTGCAAAGAGTTTCAGCAGAAGCCACAGTGGAAAGGGGTGTTGATACCTTAAAATCAACAGGAACCCAGCAAGTGGGGCCTTAACGAAAGAGAGACTGCTGGTAAATGAGACTGAATTCTTGAAAAGTGGAAATACAATACCACTGCACCAGAAGCTGGTTGTACAATCCACGCATATTCTGGGCGAATCAGCCGCAAACAATTAATTGCTGCAAGGTAACAGTTTCCTTGCTTCTGCAGGCCAGGGAGGGTGCGGACTTCTCTACCAAGGCGCATTCCATATTCAAACATCACTGTTCCAGCTGGAGAAGGCAACAAACAAGACATCAGAACAGGTTCTCCACTGCCTCCCACCACTGAAATTGGCCAGCTTCACAGCAGAATAAACTATGGTAGGAAAGAAGAGTAGAAGCAATTTGCATACTACAATTTGAGACTAGCAGGCAAAAAAAAGTAAGCAGTAGAGAAAGTAAAATGTGTAAACCTTCAAAACTTCACATTAAGACAGGAGATATAATGCAAGAGTTAACTGAACAGAGAAAACTAAGTGGGTATCCAAAGGTGTACAGCAATGCTATAAAAATGTAACTGTCCTAACTTCCTGCAGAGAAAGTTGGGACTTGCAATTTAATTGAGATGCTTAGGATCATGTACATAATTTTCAGCATCCCTCACTAGAACAAGAATTTGGAGGTTTTCTAGGAAAGATGGAACTGCCAGCAAACCACTTTAATACTGATTAATGTTGGTATTAAGATAAATAATATCTTCAACACATAAAACCAACATATGGCGATATGAGCATAGATGCCTATGTTTCATCTGCATTCTTTGGAAACATGCATTGATGCTTGAAGTAGGCAGAGTGGATTTCACTTGCAAAGGGGTTTTCAAATTAACTTGAGGGGCACATGATTTAGGTTACTTCCTATAACCAGGAGTCATAGGTTACTTCCTCCCGCATGAAAATACGCTACCTAAATCAAAATGTGCCCAAGTTATTGCAGAAATACAAATAACTGATAAATACCAAATGAAAAATGGAAGACAAAAGGAATAATGTTTTTATCAAGAACTGAAAAGAAAAAAGCAGACACATAGGAGGTATAATCCAAATAAATACAGACATGTAACCAAACATCAGAATGAAGAAGCGTCAACATCAGGAAAGGTGATATTCTAATCATTCTAAGACAGTTGAGGGGAATCATTCAGTGTATTCAAATTTTTCTTCAAAAAGTATTGATTCACATTAATGCATAACACAATTGAACCCAAAGCTTAAACACTATCTTCTCTCCTCAGGCTCATTAGTTACTTTCTGGTTCACAACAAACTGGGTGCTTTGATCTGAACTGGCACACAGACTTGCTCTCCAAACCAGAACAGCAAACCATTTTCAAACTGTGACTTGTGATCCTAACTTGGTGTACCAATATAATCCATGGTTTGCCAAATCAGGTGTATCTGTTTTCCACAGACCAGGAAATAGCTAATGTTATTTAGGGAAGCAGAGAGGAACAGCCAAAGAAGGTGAATGAACCCAAGCATTTACTCATGTATTTACTACCCAGTTAAACTGTCCAAACTTCACTAGAAAGTGTACAAATTAAAGTAGCAATAAAAAGAAAGCATTTAGATAAAAACAGCACACAATAAAACTAACTCTAAAACCAACAGAGATAAAACTGTGTGATTTCAAAGCAAATCTTAGAATGCCTGAGATAAAGAGAAATTCTCCTGGTGTCAAAAAGACCATAATGTAGATGCCAGATGAGTCCCACCAGGGAGGGCATTTCATAGACATGGTGTCACCACTGAAAGGGCCTTCTCATTTACTGACAGGCCGTAGCTTGGTATTACAGCTGAACCAGCCCACTGAGTCCTATGCTATCAAGGGCTGGGAAGGGGTGAGGGGAATTGAGGAAACAAGGCCATCACTGAGTTGTGAAAAAAGGGTTGCTTCAATACCACGCACTATGGATGCTTCATAGTCCAAAACTCCACAATGGAGGGTGTCAAAATCTCAGAAGCATTTGAGGTGCTCCCTTCAGTTTTGCACTCTCATTCAATTCACCACGTAGATTCTGTAACTACGTAGTGCTAATCCAGTATTTTTCAAGAAAAAGGGAGTGCAGGGATGGGCACTTTCAGTGAAGAACAAGTGAGTGGGAAAGCAGCTAACTCGCCTATGTCTGTCAATTCTCCCCTGTAAACTTGCCTTCACTTGTTTTCCATCACCACCTCTGGGTTCAGCAAATTTTCATCTGCTAAATGCCACATGGACCAACATTCAAACAGCTGAGTCAATTCCTCTTCATATGATCTGTCATACCTTTCCGGTAGTTATGGCGATAAACGTGGAAAGCATATAGCAGTTCATAGTAATTGTGTGTCATCAGATCTACTGCTCGAGCACGATATTCAATTATTCCCACAACCTGTAACACAGACAGCAGTTAAACATCACTGGAGAGTTCCTCATGCCCCTTTCCCTGCTCCTGACAAGAGTAAGCTATTTACCTCATTATGGAGATTCACATATGGAAACTCTACAAGGTCCTGCAATTGGGAGCGTTCACAGAGAACGACCACCAACTGTCTCAAACAGTCCAGCTGCCTAGGAGAGAAAAGACACAATGAAAATTTCAAGCACTGACAGAAACTGAGTGGTTTGTAAAACAAATTCATCTTATAATTGAATAAATCGTAAGCAGGAAGATTCCATATAATTTGTACTACAGTAAATAAGCTATTGGTTAGCAGTACAATCCATGAAAAATTTGCATGACGAAACAACCTGGACCAAGATTACTCTCTCTGCACTTTATAGCATGAGAAACCAATTTACTTTCCCCCAAAATATTGATTCTCATTATCACCTAACGGTGTAGAACCTTTAAGGATTTGGCTTAATAAGCCATGCACAGTGGCTTCTTTGTACCAGGAGCTGTGATGTTCAGGCACATTGTGGATCTGAAGCTACCTCCCTCCACTTCAGTCTTCCTGCAGGTATCCTGAGGACACTGCAGGAGTATAAGAGTTCCCCCCCTCTCCCCCACTCCCTGCTGCAACTGCAAGCCATTTTGATACACACTTTAACTCTTTTAAAAAAACTTGTCTGAAAACAAGCTATCATGCCCTCTTTTGAGATCCCAATGAAAGCATTCACAATATGCCCCTAGAAAGGCCCCCAGTGATACCTTGGAGGGGCTGCCCATGGCACCCCTTCTTCAAAAACAGCACTGCTTTTATACTAAAGGCACTCCTTATGCTTCCTTGCCCCACAAACTTCCCTGTGTGCATAAACGACAGGTGGGGTATAAACCTGGAGACCTCAGGGAAGGTATTGGCCAGGGCAGGGGGCTGCTGTACCCTTCTCTCTCCAGTGCCTAGCAGAGACTGAAAGCCAGCAATGGGAAGACACACACAACACCGGTGGGGGGAGGACTCAAAACGCCAGATCTCCCCCAAAACAAGGTAGTCATGTTGCAAGGAGGGCAGAAAGAGTGACTTTCCACAAAGTGCATTCTAACCACATCATTGTAGCACCATGTGCTCACTTTATAGACATTTGCACAAATCAGGGCTGATATGTTAGATTCAAGTTACTGATCAATACTGAATAATGAACATGAGAAATATGGAAGTATTCTTCTGTTACTGGCATATGCACATTCTACCTTGGTCACTCTGCATCGCTGAGTTACTTTCAGATTTGCCCAAAATTTGGGTCTCCATTTGCATAGATCGGGGCCTGCATTTTGTGCTAACTTCTTCTGACTTAAAAATAGAAAGCTGCATTATAGCTTGACTCAGAGCAACTTTGCACCAGAGCAGAGTTGATGAAAAGGAATCCATGAGGGTGAGATAAGCAAACCAGTTAGATTTTCATTTCAGTATAAGATTTCTCACACATTCTTAGATTACAGAGTCCTCATGTAGAGCAATCCTGAAACAGACACCAAATAACAGTAGCCATTTGTAGCTAATTAATAAATCACAATTAACCCACAATTTGCCAGGTTGCATACTATTTGTGAGCTGCTTCTGGTTTGCATATGCAGCCTCCAACTGACCAGATTAGAGGTTACTTCATGACACACAGCTATGACTAAAGGGTATGCTGTATTACCTGCCAGGATCTGGGTTATGAGTTAAAGCTTCATATGCTTGACTGTTATGTCCCAAATCCAAGTGGTGTTTGAAAATGCAAGTCCTCAAGGTAGCCTGTAATACATACATGGCAGTTACAGCAACTTTCCAGTAATTAGAAAAATAGCATAAACAAATTGTATAGGAGAAAGCCAATGTTTCAGCAATGGAAAAATCAGTCCCTTACTTGACTTCGCCAATCATCTGCTGCTTCTGTGATTGCTAAAGTAGCCAGCTGAATTATCAGCTCAGGTAGACCCATGGTGTCCAAAAGACGCAGAACCTAGAGAGGAAACATTCAGCCACTAATGTTTATACCTGAATTATTTGAGAAGAACTAACACAGTATTTTCTACAAGAGTAAGGGTTATATACAAGGGACAACAAGGACTATTTTTTCCATGGTAACAAAAATACCTTGTCATAGTACTGTAGCCGTGGGGTTGAAGCCATTTCTACATCCTCTGTTCTAATTAGTCTGTCTAAAAACTCTTCTTTTCCAACTTCTGAAGCCGCTTGACAGAAACAGTCCAGAGCCTAAAGAAAATCAGAAATCAAGCTAGCATTTCTTAACTATTACCAGCATACCCATATAACTGAATCAGTCCCATACTATTCTGTTACTACTATGCTAAGTATCAGGAATTAATTGTCTGTTAGAGTAGAACAGGAATGACTTCTAGAGGATAAGCTTTCTAGCAGAGATCCAGAGAACTGCATGCACACAAGGGCTTTTCAGCCCTCCATTTGTATCATAGCTACCATTCTCTCTCCAGAGGCTTCCCCCGAAGGTTAGGGAATAACATCAAACTATACCACCAAGAAGGAAAGTGGATATACAGTCAAATTCCTTTGCCTAAGGCTAAACTGGTAACACAAAGTCACCTCTGACTTTCTCTGTTGCTAAACTGTTCTAAAGTAATACAGTTTAGATTTCTCTGCATACATGAAGCTCTTAAAAAGATCAAATAACCTCTCTTGCATGTGATAACCTCTGTCTAAGCTATGGGCAAACTTGTAAGCAAAAAATTCTGGAGGGCCACAAGACCCATCATCTGTCATTGGCTATGCTGTCTAGAACTTGTAAGAGTTGTAGGCCAAAACATCTGAAGGGCTACAAATTGTGCACTCCTGGCCTAAACCAACTTCTCTTTTTTTGTGTGTCTCAAGTTAAACAACACTTTTCAAAAAATAAAATATTTATTGGCCGTAAAGCAGTCAAGTATTTACCTTGTGTCCTTCTCCCATAACAAGGTAGCAGCGTCCCATTATAAAACAGCATGATCCCACATTTGTGTGACACCAAGGATCCAACAAACGAATATATTCCTGATATAGAAACAATACCCACTAATCAGGTTATTTCTTAATTTCCACTGGTCTTAAGTAGACATATTTTAATGAAATCTGATTAAAAACATGGACTGGCAAGTAGCTAGGTTTGCTCCTGACCCTAAATTGTAGTGAACCAGCTGGTGTAAAGCAAACAGGCAGTTTTCTACAAATTTCACCTTCCCCACATATTCATCTGTGCCCTTCAGAAGTTTGTTCCAGGGGACTTGTAGGGCCTGCTAGAACAGTATACAAAGTAGCACTGAGGAAAACCAATGAAAGACTGTTGCCTGCTTCTGCCACTGGAGAACTTCATTAATTGGAGTCCCTCCCATAAACTGAAGAAGCCCTTTTGTTCACAGAAGGATAATTCAGGATGCAAGCCCTACTCTTTATTTTATGAACCAATTCATTACTCAAGATGAACAGCATGCATTGTACAAATAGTTTATAACACTTTTGTCTTAGAACAGAAGGCTGGTACAGACACAACATTAACTGCCTGATGATCATTAGCTAACAAGTAAGAAGCCAACCTTGGGAATAAGCACTCCCTTCCCAGGCTGAATTCCCCCTTATCCACGTAAGTATGTCCAATCAGTATTGCCTTCAAAAACGTTTTCAAGCCCTTGGTCCAGGAACTGAACTTAGATGGAACTGAATTAGTCAAACAGACAGGGAAAGAATGAATTTGCCCCAGCAAGCAGAAAGGGGATGAGGGAAGGAAGCACACATTCTTGAGACAGGTTTCCAACATACTAGCTTCTATATCTGTGCCAGTCAACACTTTGTCAAAGGTCATATTACTTTTTTAATTTCTGGGGAAAGTACATTGGTGCCCTGGAGCCTTGCAGAATGAAATGAGTTTTTGTTTTTTGTCAATTTACTATGAATCCATGGCTCACAATTTAGGAAATGGCTATTAATCATATGGCTATATATTATACCCACTATTCTTCTAATAGTATTTGCTGAGGAAATCAAGCAGAAGGGGGCCATTGTAGCTTGCTTGTGGGCTTCACATACATATTTGGCTTGCCACTGATGGAAGAATGTTTGCCTAAATAAACCTTTGGTCTAATCCAGCAGAATTCTTATGTACTCTGCAAATCTCTACCGCACAGGCACAGAAGTTGACAATTTTGAGTTATTTCAAGCCTTTTTAAGAAAGGTTGTCTGTTAAGGCTATGAACATAACCCTGCCTGGAAGACTAAAATTTGAAAAACTGGAAGGATACTTGACCTTTCAGCCCTCAAAAAGTGGCACTCAAGGCAACTTAAAATCATAAATAAAACTTGATTAAAAAAATAAGAAATGCATTTGAACCTACTTTTTCTTAGTGCAACATTTCAGCTACTTTTTAAATGCAGAATACACATAGCATCTCTACCAATAGTAAGCTATCACTTCGAACTGGGTTAGATTTCAACCCAGATTCTCACATTGAAAAAAAGTTTCTATATATTTTTCACATAAAAAACTCACCTGCAGCTGTGCATACTGACAAGTCCCCATTAAACATTCTGGAAAGAGGAAAGTGGGATTACTTGGCCACCTGAGGACTATATAAGGAATGTAAGCTTTTCAACTGATGAGAGCCAGTGTGGTGTAGTGGTTAAGAGCATGGGACGAGGACTCAGACGATCTGGGTTCTAGTCCCCGCTCAGCCATGGAGCCAACTGGGTGACTTTGGGCCAGTCACAGACCCTCAGCCCAACCTACCTCACAGGGTTGTTGTTGTGGGGTAAGAGAGGAGGAGAGGTGGAGGAAGAGAGATGATATAAGCTGCCTTGAGCCCTTTGTAGGAAAAAGGCAGGATATAAATCGAAAAATAAAATAAAAAATAAAATAAGACAAGACAAGTTTCCAATTTAATATACAGCAAGCCTGTCATATTCTGTGTAGTATACAAAGTGCTCCTAGGCAACACAAGCAAATGAATGGAAAAATGTTTATGATTAAGCAGGCAGCAGAGCAGGCAGCAGGGAGATGTAAGTGCACAGAAGTATGGACATGAGCTAGCCAATACTTGAGCATCTCCTTTACAAATCTGCTCTGTCAGATACATACTACGCACCTATCCTAAAAACTAGGATTGGCTGCTCATAACGCTATTCATTCTAGTCTTTGTTTCCTTTCATTCCTACTTCAAGAGAGGATAATTTCCTGTACAGCTCTGTTCTACAGATTTAGAACTGATCAGATCATTGCCCCAGCATATTTCAGAGGTTTTTTTTTTCAAATCTAAGCTAACCTGAAGGTTCATACCAGAACAGGGTTGGGAAATCTCGGGCTGGGACCCAAATCTGGTCTTCCAAAGGTTCCCAGATGACCAGGCCCCCTTTTCTATGATCCCACTACCTTTCCCTCCACCACAGATCGTTTGGTGGTTTCCCAGCTTTCATACAAGTTTCTCTTCTATTCTAAAAGGTTGAAATGCATCTTCCACAGTTGCTGGCAGTAACCTGTAATATGCAGGTATTTTTAGTAACTTGGCTCCACCCTGCTTTGCCTTCAGACCTGCCCACCAATTTCACCTAACTGAAATTCCACACTTGAGCTCAGAGAGGTCCTGCATCTCTGTGCAAGACAGAAAATGTAGCTTGCTGCCAACTCAAAAGAAAAGGATACAAAAACTGCAGGAGATAACTGGAAACTGCAGAAAACATTTGAGGCCAACTCAAACTCGTTTCATCCAAGGCTGCATTAGACTGGAAAAGCTGAGATATTATATGCTTTCGGGCTACCTCCTGAAAGAACAGTTCCACGATAGTTTGAGGGCTGGACACTAGAAAAGATTTAAAATTGTTACCAGGACCACTGTAACATGAGAAACTTGAGACCACTGTAACATGAGAAGCCTAGTCAAGCTTCTAGGCTAACCCTAACCCTGTAACAAACACATTTCTTACATGACTGCTCAATTTAAAGGCTTTCCCATCCTATCTTGTTTCTTTAATGAATCCAAGGGCATGGAGGGAACGAGCCATTACCTTAAATAAGAATTTTAGGTTTTGTTTTTGTAAGTAAAGAATTTGCATTTTTAGTCATAACATGAACATGTTGACAAGTAATAATTGGATTTTTCAATGTGATAATTTTCTATTTAAAACAATCCAACTAGTCAGAGGAAAAAGTGCACACCAATGTGCTGGTGTCATTTTAACAAAGAGCCAATAAAATTTTATCTGTATATAATGCAATCTCAATCAGGCTCCCACTACTTATATCACTGTTTTACATTCTAGTATGTGATACATCATATTGATGAGAATTTGTGAATGATTAAACACAAGTAATTTTACCTAATACATACAGTTATATCCCACTTCTCTTCTAAGGCCACTTTCCAGTAGTCTCCCAGGTAGGCATTGACCAGACCCAGACCTGCTTAGTTTTAGTAAGCTGACTACATCAAATTTCCACTGACCATGTCCTGGACCCCCTTAAATGTTACTCCCCCAATCCTGCTTGGGTTACATTCTGTGGTAAGGACACATGGCATTAACTTCCATGCCCACAACTGAGCCACTTAAACAGTATTGCAGTTGTGCAGGAGTCATTCATGACTCTTATGTGGTTTGGGTAATGTTTTAAGGGTTCTTTTGAGTCTCAGCAGTTGTGGTTCTTCAATCAATGTGTTTAGCATTATGTTGCTTTAAGGTTCCCTCCAAGACCCAGTAACATGATGTCTATAAAATCTATTATACCTTTGGTTAAATCTTGAATAATAGCTTTAATCGGTACAAAATTAACATATGTAAAACTAAAACTTAGAAAAAATGCTTAGAGTCCTTCTTACCTAGTTTGAGTGGTGTCAGAGCTGTGGAATCTGTCAGTCTTAATACAGAAAGATGCTGAAGATTGGATTCCCTAAAGAAAAATACATTACTTATCAAATTAGAAAAGTATTTTAAATTCTACCACTACAGTTCTAAAAAGATCAGGCCAGGATATGAAAAGACAGAATGCACACTTGCAATCTACAGCCACAGTGAGATTATTCTGTAATTTTCAGGGCCAGCGTAAAAGTCTTCATATGGTGAAGTAGCTGTAAGGGGTTTGTATGAAACAGCTCCAGCACATAAAAAGATGGAAGCTTGTGCTTCCTTTAAAAGAGCTTTCAACAATTTTCCCAAACATGACACTGTTTCCTCTCTCCAAAATGCTTTTTCACATGAAAACACCTCACCATGCAAAAATCACATGCCAAAACATGAAGTTTTACAATGACAAATGTTACCAAAAACTGAGGGAATATTCACAAGTTCAGAAATGTACTCAAGTACACAAACATGGAAATTACATTCAGGACAACAAAACTCATCTTCTGGAATAGAAACAAGCATACATTTTTAATGTTATTGGCAATTTAAATAATTCCCAAGCAAGTATCTACTTTCTGAGAGTAAGCTATGTAGTTTTAATAGGTAGGAAGTACCATCACTATAAACGTTCCATAAAAAATTAATTCTAAGCCACCGGTCCTGACTAAGGTGAAGGAAAAAAATGTTTTGCTAGGAAGAAAGTGAGAGTAAGAGAAACAGGATTCTGAAGCAGACTTAGCAGGAGCTAAGCAAACTTGCACAAACTGGCTTTCTTTTGTAAAAATGGCTTCCACTAACAGAATAGAAACTAACTGTTTGTACTTTGATATGTTAATTACAAACTAAACATTGAAAACTTACAGTTCATCAACTGGAACATCTGATGCCAAACGCTGACTTGCCCACCTGATCAGGTAGTAGGATAGTATCATATGAGATGTACGATGCAGCAGATTCTGTTGAGTATGGAATAGCTGACCTCCTCCCAAAATTGCCTAAAAGTATCACATTAATAGTCATTAAATGGCAAGTAAATTCACATCATTCAGAAGAGGTGTAACCATGTTTATCACAAATCCACACTTGGGAAAAATGGAATTTTTTTGGGAAAAAATGGAAATTTGGATTCATTGTCCCTTGGCAGGCAGGCATAATGTCAGAAACACCAATGCGCAGCCTTGTAGCAGTCAGACAACTATACAGTGGTGCCTCAGTTCACGACCAAATTGGGTTGCGAACAAAACATTCAGGAAAAAATTGACTCAGGTGGCGAACTCCGCATTGGGTGACAATTGCGATCATGCCCATCTTCACCCCCAGCACGAGCACAATCGCAGCCATCTGCCCCCCCCAGCACGGCCACGATTGCACCCATCTCCCCCCGCCCTGAGCATGCCTGCAATCGCACCCGTCTTCCCTGTGATTAAAAAAATATTTATAGAATGGATTAACCTTATTTACATTGAACCTTATGAGGGAATTTGAGTTGGCTCATGGCCAATTCAGGTAGCGACCAGAGTCATGGAACAGATTAAGTTACCACTGTATATCCTTGGCAGCCAGGAGGAAAAAAATTCATCCAACACAGATTAAAACTTTCTGTTGCTGCTCTGTTTCCTTTTCCTCTATCACAAACGAAGATAGATGGGAATTCCTGCAATCCTGTTTATGCCATTCTTTAGGGTTCCTATAGATGTTAGTGTTTGACATTGTACAATATTCTATTAAAGTATACTTACAGCATCTCCAAGTCGTAGCAAGAGCTGCTGCAAAATCAGCAAGTCCCGACAAATCAAGAAGCGGGTTATGGCCATCTTGTATACACACCGACACACCATATTTACTGTTGTGCTACTACCATAGAGCTGTGAAAGATGCATGCGCACGTTCAGGGGCTGAACTGTAGAAAGACAGAAAGGGAAACAATGTTTATTTGCAGACAAACAGCTTCCACTTAATTAAAATGATATGGGGAGCAACAGCAGACCCATTAGCCTCTCACCAATACTGAATCCTCTTTCCATTTCAACATCTGTCTCATAATCCATTTCCCTGACAAGCACCCCAATAGCATTGATTGGGTTTTTGATCTCTTGCAATTTGCTGTGAATATCTTCCATCAGATTCTCTCTGCAAGAAAACAAGCAAAGTGTGATTGATAGCTTCTCGTGAAGCCTAAACACAAAAAATAGTTATAATCAGGAAAGCAGACTGTCCCTCAGTTATGAGGTGTGGCATCCTTTTTTTTTTTAGCCAACTCTTAGCTTGCTATCCAATGGGTATTATAGCTGGCTGAGGGAAATTACAAGAAATAAGTAATTTGAAATTAACTCCAGCTTTAATGACTATTAAGATGCCCGTGCCAATTGCCAGGGAACAACCAATTCCATTTAAGTCCAGCCCAGAACGACCACCCACTAAAACTACATAGAAAGAAATCACCTAAATTTATTTATCCAATCAATTAAACTCAGTGAGGGAAATAAGTGACTCAAGTTTGATACATTGAGCTTGTGTGTGTTCAAAGCCCATGCTTACGTGTCATTGGCAATCAAATCTGTAAGGATCTGTTCTGCAGCTTTCTCTGGTGACTGGCGACGGCAGCAAGTCATTTCCATTGTGAGTGCCATCTCTACAGAGACTGAGTCACGAATTAATCGAAGGCACTGAACAAGGCTCAGAAGATCATGAGAAAACTCAGATTCTGCAACAGAAAGTTGTACAGAACTTGTTTCAGAATGGAGTCACTACTGATAATAAAGCAGCCAGCTGTGCAGGAAGAAAGAAACTGCAGTAAAAGTACAAGACATTTGTTATATGTGCAAAAGTGGCACAAAATACATTTTTTGTAAGTGCCTGCTCAAGTCAGCACAAACTCCAAAACACAGTTGTGAGTGAAGTACCCAAGTTATCTCAATCCCTGTGGTGCACAATCTTGAAAATCGGTAGGTTTTACATGTTTCATTCTAATCTTACAATTATCCATGTACAATGAGGCACCCTTTTTAAGTCAGTGCTCAGGGACTGCCCATCAGAACCTTCTGGGCACTGTTTATTATCAACTTTTGTTATTATCACTAACAAAGTTATTAAGAAGTGTATCCAAACCCATTTGTGTGTTCTCCCAGTTTGTCATGCCAAGCAATAGCATCATCAAATTCTGGAAGCAGCGTTAAAAAGGGGGTGATGGTAGGAATGAGCAACTCCAGAAACAAACATGATCAGAACAACATGGAGAGTAGAGAATACAGTGAAGCGGGTGAAGGTTTAGCAGTATCCTCTTGCAGCTAAACTTGTTTTACCAGATGTAGTGAAAAGGGTTCTGATTCTGCTGTGCACCCCATAATATAGTTAGCACACCTTGAACTGCAAGGAAAAGAGTGGTGACATATTTTCCATGCAGGGATCTCCTTGAACTGGCAGTGTGCATTTTCTATTTTCATATTTTTCATAGAAATGGAAGGAAAAACAGGGGAGTTAAATATGTATCGCTTACTTGGATCACCACTAAGGGAACAGCTCTGCTACACCTGGATAAATGTTTTTATTTATAGAATGGGGGAATGGCATTTTAGGGAAGTTACCAAGTCATTGCTTGACTCCAAGTCATCTTAAATTCTCTTCACCTGTCCCTTTCCTACTCAATACAAGGAAAAAGTAAAATAGACAAAAAGGTAGCAAGCAAGGAATAAAATCTTAATATAGATTTGGAAAATCTTAGGAAAAGGAGTGAGATGGGGTTATTCAGTGTTTCTTCTTGTGCCCATCCACATCTACCATGCTAAGATCATATATCACTGATCTGCAGAAAGCAACCAAAATGTGTCATTTCTAACTACTTCTGCTCCTTGCTTAGACTCTGCTGTGAAAACCTTGAAATTAAAATTACAACATCTTAAAACAATGTATTTTCTCCCTATCTCCATTACCATCTAAGCTGGCACTCTCAACTTCATTCATCAGTTGTTCATCAGGCAAGAGATAAAGGTGATCCATTTGAGAGCAGGGTACAAGAAAAGACAGGTAACCCTGTGGAGGGAAAAACTTGTTTATTTATGAACTCCACAGGAATATGGCTTGCTGTTAAGTTTAGATTGCATTTACGAATAAATAGAGGATACCAAGAATATATTAATTATGTGAAGAAAAAATCAATGCAACATTCAAAAAGCCTCCAAGTTTGGATGAGCTACATTGTCAGGGTTACAGATCTATTTGAAAATATACTGGCAAATAATTGTAGTATTAGATTCTACAAGAAGAAAAATTCAAATTACTTGCCTTAAAAATGTACATGATTTTGGATCCTTAATAAAACCAAGGACTATCTTAAGTGCTGATGATTTTTTCAGGAAGGAAAAACCCAATCTAAATTAAATATGCCATGACTATTTGTAACTACAGCCAGTGTGGCACTGTGATTAGGGTACTAGAGCAGGACTCAGGAAATGTGGGTTCTACTTCCGACTTAGTCATGAAGCTGTGTGACTTTGGGTCAGTCACTTCACAGAGTTGCTGGAAGGGTAAGATAGAGGATTATGTAAGCCACCTTGGGTGCATTGTAGGAAAAAAGGCAGGATATAAGTATAAGAAATAAACTCAAAAGCTGCCACACATAAGCTTGCATATTTCAGATACATGTGATGTAATTAGCCTTCAATATTATAGAGACATTATGGCCCAATTCTGAACCTCGTTTTATAAATCATCCATATTTGGTTTCCCATTTGTTAGATTCCTACCTTTTTTAGCAGACACACCATATTAGTGCTCTGATTAAAAAGAAGCGCAAGTGGTCGTGAAAGTTCTTCTTGGTATTGAAGGCAGTAAGCATAGAATTTTGACCAGAACTCTATTTGCAGTTGTCTAAATTCTTCATGTGAGAATTCATATTCAGTAACATTACCCTGGAACTAGGAAGAAAACAACAAGTTCATGCTAACTGTTGCTTATCAGATAATGACAAGAAACTTTTTAGCAAAGCCATTGGTTGATTACTCTTGAAATGAATATACCAGTAAAAGCTTGATGAATTATTACAAGGGACCAATGAAAGAATTGTTCCATTCTTCTACAAACCAACAAAAACTATTTCCTTTTCCCATCCTTAAATCAACCACATCAACTTATGTTTGGCTAAAATCATTATCATGGTATCCCATGGACAGAAAGTCAAGATTTTGTCCATTAGAATCAAGCTACATAATTCATACTAGAGACTGGAACCAGTGCAAGACACATCCCAAACACTGGCAGACTGAGCTAAGGACAACTTTACAAAAAGATCACAAAGTGCCTAGAGGTCTATCAGTTACAGTAAAAGGAGCTTGGAAAGAGAGAGAGTGTGGCATTGCTAGAGTCACAGTGACTGGGTTCCACAAGATAGTCAGGGATTTTTGAGAAGGACATACACAGCCATAAAATCTCTATAAAGCCATGTGGGGGTTTTTTACCTTAGTCCTGTCAAAAACTGTTTAAAAAATACCCCTTGATTTTGACAGTTGTCAGAAGTGCCTCTTAACTGGTGTGGGCTATGCTTTTGCAGAGCCTCAGGAAAGGTTGAAAAGCGGGACACTGGAAACTTTCTGATCCAAGCTCAGAAACCAAAGGATCTTGCTTGGCACCTTACCCAGTACTGGTCATACTATTTCTGCCATTTTTACATGTAGGTCACCAGTGTTGCACAACAGGTTGCTAATGTATTTGCATACTTTTCAGATTCAAAACAATGCTGTCTATGAATTTCTCTAGCTACATATGAAGATGGTTTGATAGAATTTCCTTTGAATAAATAATAGACAAGAACTGAGGCAATCTTACAAAAGAACGAAAAGAGGGGAAAGAAAAAAAGGTCTAAATAGAAATTGTACCTCATTTTCCAGAGCTATAGTAATTTCTTTTTTCAATTCATCCCAGGATAGGTCTGTGAGTCTCTCAGCTCCTTGAGAATATATCTGGGAAAAAATTGCAAGATATTTTATACTGTTGAGCCATGAATCATTTAGTTTCATACATGTATCCAGTATAAGATTGCTAGGTAAAGTGGCCTTCAAGATATACACTTCACAGGGAAAGTGAGAACAAACCAATACAGAGAAAACTAATAGAGCAGTAGACCAAATTACAGTTCTCTTTGTATGAACAGTGCCTTCACTCACGAATTGTCAGATCAACTCTTACCAAGAAACTGACAATACATCTGTTGGTTTTGCAGTTACTATCATTCTTACACAAATGAAATACAGCATGTGTTGTAGATTCCAACTCTATTGTTTCCAAATCCATTCTCCAAGGGCATCACTGGCCTCATTTCTAGAAATGTCCACTTTATATGGCAGTTTTGATAAATGTGATTAACCAGTATATTTAATGCCATTATTTAGCATCATGTATAGTTTCCACTGGATAAACTGCTATAGTGCCTTATAGTATGATCAATATTCCTCCATGCCATATTGCTTTCTGCAGAAACATCCACCCTAACCTTCAACCTGCTACACAAGTCCATCTGTTTCTCTTGTGAAGATTGGCAATATCCTTATTACTTTCTTCTGGCCCTTGTATTTTCTTTCCAACATTTTAAAGTTTATTCTAATAAGGATATCTTTCCTTACCACCACCTTGTCCCTCCAAATGTTGCAAGTTACTAGCATTTCACATCTTAATACACTTATTTTCCTCTCCCTTGACTACAGTTCTATTACTTTTCTAGTCCCAAAAATCATAAGTGAACTTATTACTGTATCTCCTCTCTTCCAAAAGATCAAGCCATCCAGTACTATATCAGTTCCCAAAGTCAAGCAAATCCTGTTTTTCCACAAGTCAATTTTAGTACCATGCAATTAATTAATTCTTTTCCTGGCAAGTTGAAATTTAGAATGAATTATGCCTCTACCTTCTCTGCGTAATATAGTTGCACTGTTGAGTAGTAATCTTCCATTTATATTTAATACAGTTGCATACTTAAATATATTAAGTAGTATACTTTTCCAGAGAATAGAACAGCTAATAAAAAGCATTACTTTTGATATATTTTTAATCAAGTGGGTTCCTCCCTACCTGCTGTCCCCCATCAAAAAGTTAGAGTATTTTATTAGCATCGGGGGGCAATTACTTAATCCATCTAGTATAAGTCCAAAACTCTGATTTTGCTTCACCACCATTGTAGTCAATCCCCCAAAAGCTAAATTATTTGATCAGTTCACAAAATCATGATAATTAGATTTCAAAAATAATTGCACTTTTATTTTCCTGTGTAATGGAATCCATTTTTAAAATATGCAGGAATTACTATATTCAAGTATTATTTAGGAAATACGGTGAGCTATTACCCAAAATGATGGAGACATCATAAACTGGAAACAGCACCTCAGTCTCAGGAGGGGAAGTAGGAAATCTCTCCCCTCTTCTGCCCCAACAGGCTCCCCAACAAATGTTAGCATTATTGCTCACCTGTAAAGCTTTAAGCAATGCTGCGTTTGTGAACTGGCCAGGCATGAAGATGGCCTCTGTAAATGTTTCCTGAAAGATTCACACAAGTGGAAAATATTTAAATAGAGCAGTAACATTCATTGAAAAATAACAGTATTTGCAGTTATTTTTTTGCAATAGAATTAGCTATGTGTTTGTCAAGAAACATTTGTTTTTCTATGCTGCTCCATAACCAGAGCATTATATTCTAGCAGTATCTCAACCTAATTTTTGGTTACTATTTCCAATATGCATGATGCCAACCATGCCTACTACATATCCCTTGAAGATGAGAAACAATAAAGCTTGCTACATTGTTCATAATACCTTAGAAATCCAAGACCTAAACAAGTTAAGAGGATATATAAGAATATTGATGAAAGAAAGAATAAAGAATAAAAATGGAAAAATGTAATAGAACAAGTAGTACATATTCTTTATAATATGCATTTAGTCACATGTGAGCACTGGAGCAAATATGTACACTTAAATTATAATGGAAACAAGGTATGCATGCTAATTAGCCAGTCAAGAGTCTTAAAGAAGACTGAATGTCTAAATGTTTCTGAAGATTAAGAATATCAAAGAGAAGATGTCTTAACTTTCAAATGTTCATGCTTGTATTTGCCTTCCTTCACAGGACTTGATCAGTTTTATATTTTTCCATAAGCATGAAAAAGTCTTTATACTTGCATTAATCCTTTAATGTAACATGCTCATTTTTGTTTTGCTGCTCCAATTCATGATTGATTTTTAAAAGATATTTTAGGATTTTTTTTTCATTATACTTATATGCCGCCTGTTTTCCTTCCAAGGAACTCAAGGCAGCTTACCCAATTCTTTTCATTCTTACCCTCAAAACAACTACTCTGTGAGGAAGGTTGGTCTGAGAATCTGTGATTGGCCCAAAGTCACTCAGTGAGCTCCATGGCTAGATGAGGACTAAAAATCCACATCTCCTGAGTCCCAGGCCCATGATTCTGACCACTTCACCACATTGCCTCCTCCAGTTACATAGATGCAGGACTATAGCTACTTCAACTATTTCATGGCCTCTTACCCGTGGGTCCTGGTCATCTCTAATATCCAGTTCTTCAGCTGGTAGGGGCTGTACAGAAACTTGGTTCCACTGACCTGCAACATTGCTGAAACAGGATTGAACCATTTATGTCAAACTTCCATATAAAGATGTGTTTGCAGATCCCTCTCCCACTTAATCTTGGCACTCTGAACATAAGACACTGACTTCACTATCGTCAGATTTCTTCTCTCTCCTATCCTCTCCCACTATCCTGCTTTTCATGGCATTTTGCCTGATGAAGAGATATGGTGATCTGAAAAGTTCACAGATTTTTGATGATTGCTGGTTGACTTAAGATATTACATTAATAAAAGTTTTGGAACATATATACAGTTCATAGAATTACTTCCATGTAGAAAAAAATACTATGATATGCAACCATAATCTTCCACTTACTTTTACCTACTTTTGACATGGCATAATATTTGCACTTACAGACTCATTGCTGTTTGTAGATGTGTTTTCCTCTACACATATACACAAGCTATCATTGGCCCTATCCCTTAACACCAAATTTAGTATTTGATGTCAGAAAGAGACTGAGGGGGCAAAACTTACTGCTCAAAATTGATGTATTTCACAGTGGTTTGGTTTTCATCTTCATGCCAAAGTGCCCAGATCTCTGCAGTAGTTAAGGCAAAGTCAACAAGTGTCTCCTAAGTGGAAAAAATATAATAGGGAATACATCACAACATTGAAGGGTGGTTTCGAACATAAATGAACCCAAGAAAGAACCCAAAAATATATGGAACATGAAGATTTTGTTGAATACCCTCCTGCAATCAGCATTGTCTGTGCTTAGGAGGGGATGTGTGACAGAAGGCAGAGCTCCATTGTCCCTCTCAGTGTGGAATGGATTATTTGCAAAATGCATGACATTTTCATCTGAAACCCCTTTAACTGCCTTGACCAAGTGCTACTGATTCCCACCTGAGAGGTGAACAGTGAAGATATATGATCAAGACTGTACCGATGACTCTCTGTGCTGACCAACTGGAAGACACAGAACTGAAAAAAATGCTTTAATTAGTGAAAATGAGGATGCAAAAAATTCTATGCTGTTTTACCAGACTTTGATGATTAAGATAATAGATCGTATTTAAGTTAAACGATTTAATATTTTTAAAAAGAGGATATTGTTAGTCATTATTCCCTTTTTGTAGGCTTTCTAACTACAGAAGAAGGCACAATAGACTCCCTATAGAAACACAGAAGCTTCAAAAGACTGAAGTCCCATCATACTCAAAAGGTCATTGGGACCCATCATTTAAAATTATTCTATTGCAGGAAACAAAGTATAATTCTGTTCTCTGAAGAGTCCTTATAAGTGTTCTATTTTCCCTTTTGCTTTTATTCTTCTTCACTTTAATGCCTTATGGCCATAGCTTATGGCCAGAAAATTGTGTATGTGGCCACAGTTGGTATATAGGTCTATATTGATACATACAGAACATACCTATCCTGGGCCAAGAATCTCCTACATAACCAAAGAAAATCTCTACTTTTTTTTAATTCATAAAGTTCAAACAGGCACTGTTGGCCAAGAACAATGTAACAGCATTTGATTGCTTGGAAATATATATTAGAAATTTCACCCCAGTAGTTCACCAATATGTATCTTATCAAGCACCAATGTATTGTAACTTTTCAGTTTTGAAAGCAAAATATTTTGGATACTGACAACATTTCCAAGATCCTTGTCTTATCCAGGATTATAAATCAAAAACTACAAAGTTTAGTAAATGGCTTTAACTACTCACTGCAAGCTAAAAAGGTCTTTAAAATAATTCTCATTCACATACATTCTTGAAATTCATATGTCATACAAGTGTCACACTTTATCATAATAGTTATCAGTCATATATATTTCAACTTAACAGTAAACAACACTCCAAAAAATCAAGAGATTCCAATACCTGGCCTTGTTTGGGTGCATGCAAATATACACCAATATAAAGCCCCAGTGTCTCAGAATATGCCAGCTGTAATTTGTGCCCAGTTCCAGCAGCAAATCTCAGGTCTTTATTTACAGGCACAAACTCCAACATATCAGCCACCATCAGACACATTTGATCCTGCCAAGATAAAATGCCAGATGAGTAAACAAGATGAATACATACAACAAGTGTTTGAACACAATTAGTAAAACAGCATGAGGCACTAGGTAGGCATTTCACTGCATCCTTTCATTGTTCCCAGCCCATGAAATCTTACGTCTTGGTATTATATTTCTTTATTTGTCCCTGGCTCCTGTAGCATGTTTGTGTCTACTTCTGTTTTTGAGAAAGTAACACTAAGCTAACAGCTGCCATTTGCAAGATCACCCACTGATACTATCCCTGTCATCACCATCAACCTCTTGGGGTGCTTTTAAGTCTTCCAAGTCTACATGATTATTATGCAAAGCATAAAATGCAAGATCCGGAATTTAAGTGTGTCCCCAATACTTGTAATTTTCTTCACTCCTTCTGCAAAGCCACAGAACCACTTCCCCCACTGCTCCAGAAAATCAAGCCACTAGGAACAGGTTTTCAGAGTATGGGGCGGGGGGGGAGATACACAAGACCATCTCCTCCTCCTCCTCGGCAGCAAAAAAGCTCCACTGGGTTAAAAATATCATAGCGATTGAACTTCTATCTATAGAAGGCTTTTACTGATCTAACCTATGGGTTTGAACATGATGTTGGTTCATCTTCACAGCAGACAAAACTATTGGTTAAAGGTACAAAAATAATGAATGAACCAAACAAAAATGTGCACAATGCTGTAAGAGAATAGAGAGGTGACCCTGATACATGCCTCCATAGTGCTTTCTAATGCCCTGTATAAAAAAGGCCCCTGGTATCAGCGTAGCCACCCCCCAGCCCCATGAGCACTGGCCAAAGCAAAGTAGAACAGGACTTCTACCAACCTGCGCAGATACCAGCGCAGCACCTCCATTTCCAGCTAGAGGCCTCTGGGCAGATCAAGTCCACCCCCTCCTTCTCTAGATTCCTGAATTATATTTCAAATAGTAAGCAGATCCTCTACAAAAATTGGCTGTGACAAACTACAAACAAAAGCCTTAATTTGACTTTGCAATCATCAATGAGTTTTGCAAATTTAAAATTCAACATGGTGGGATAAAATGAACATTATCTCACCAGTTTGGGAAAGAACACTGATGCATTGTGGGTTCATTTTAAACATCAATTTCATAGCTACAAATATGCACAGAACAGTGAACAGCAGGTATTTCTGCTGACCCTTTTGTCATGTTACCTAAAGACACTGAGCTTCAGATTCAGCTGAAGCTTACAAAAATTCATGGTTTGCCAAGGCCTTTGGACCACCATAGGTTTAATTCCTTAGCTAATATGAAAGTATCACGGAAGCACATACTATCTCCAGTCTATTACTAATGTATCTTGCAAGTAACAAGCAACTTGTTGATGTATGGAAATTATCACTGCTCATACGGATTATTCACATTGGCAATACTAACCATTAGTCAATCATTAATCAGAAATACAAATTCCACTCACTTTGTAAGACCACATTCTAAGTTTATGATCCTGGTAGAGTGCAAAGAGGAGGGCATCATGCTCACGACAATGGACACATAAGCTAATGGGAAGGTCTGAAAGACTTGGGTCCCCTCTGGAAAAACCAAGAATTTAAAAAGATTTTTTTAAAAATAAAATACAGAAGTAGGTGGAGTTTAAAAGATAACAATGCAACAAAGTACTTGACAACTTTTATTGAAGGAAACCTATAATTAAGATTTCACTACAAATTGGAAGGATACTGTTATGAATAACTGGAACAGCATTCAATTTCTGATATCTCCCTTGAAAGCTTTCTACACTTAAAGATGGCCAAAACTTATTTTAAATAAATAATTATATACATATCATCAATGGTATTCCCCATTTCAGATCCCGAAGTGCTTTCACCTGTACTGAGCCACTACAAATGGGAAACAGATTTCTAATGTAGGACAGGCTTTACTGAACTAAAGATATACTATACAAGAGAGGATCAGTGTAATTAAGTTTATAATGAACAGTAGCCTAAAATGCATCACAATTCAAAGATATATTGTGACATTTCTCTCAAAAGCACAATCCAAAACAAAAAAAAATGTCCACCAACTCCTACAATGCCCCAACTTAGCCACGCTAGAAGTTGCTGGGCATCTTGCAGTCTATGCATGCAAAGGGTTGCACCTTCAATTTTCAATTAACCCCCTCCATTCAAGTCATGAGACAGCCAAACTACATCTATAAGTAAACCATTTAAAGTAACCTTAAGTCCTGGCTCTACCTAGTGCCAAAACCCAGCTCAAATAAAAAGGCTTTAAAGCAGTTCCAAAACTGCACAGGTTGAGTCTTCAATAGGTCACTATAGGAAATATATCCATTCTGCTTTTGGCTGGGCTGTCAAGAGAACATTATTAGTTATGCCCACACTAAGAAAGCAGCTGTTAATGCAAAGTAGTAAGATTTTTTCCCTTGAAATGCTACTCCCCCTTCAGGAGAAGGTCACCATATTCTGCCACACCTAAAGCTTCCAAGAAATCATCAGGAGCAGCTCCACAATACACATGTTAGAGCAAATCAGTCTCTAATTTACAAAGACAAATTATGCAGCCTTCTTAATAGATGAAAGAGAGCATACAAAAAGTTAAAAGACACACTTCCTAATTGGGCTATGGGAGGTTCTGAAAACACTCTTGGACTCTCCAGCAATATGTAATCTATCTGAAATACTGAATCCAAATGAACCTCAAGACTTCAAATTTAAGTAGAACAGAAAAGACTGAGTCCCTTCTGCAGATCACTGCTCCTTCAGAGAGACAAGGCATGTTCAAGATTCTTCTTTATCAGGAGTAAGCCACCATTTCATTTTATATTCTTAAGACAGCTGGACTAAGAAAGAGCAAATCACACTTTATTTAGGGGACTTCTATGCCGCCCCATTAGCCGAAGCCTCGGGGCAGCTCACAAACCATAAATAAATAGAATACAACAAAACTATATAAATTAATATAAATTAAGTCGCCCTGGCCAAAGAATAAAATAAATAATATTAACAATTAAAATAACATTTGAATAAAAAGGTCTTCACTTCCAATGTTTAATAAAAGTCTTGCTAACAACCTAGACCTGGTTAAAACACCAGATACAAATTGCTTTAAAGATTTCATATGGTCACTGATATATAACACAATTCAAGAAGTAGAACTGTAGGATTAATGGGAAGCCAAGTACTTATTCAGTTGAATTTTAGCTCTACTACTTGCTATGGCATAGACTGTAAGAATCTAATTAATTGTTATAATTTGCCTTTATTGTTTACAATCAAGTTACTAGCCTGATGGCTGTGGGCATCCAACCTGTAAACAAGCGCTGCATGACCGAACTCTGTTTCAACTCCACAACTGAAGTTGATGCCATCCCTAAAAACAAGAACACAAATTAGCAATTCTTTCATATATAGCAAATAAAAGTGCAGTTACACCAGATGTATAGTCCTTGTGATTACTACACAGTCAATATCCACTTAATTTTACTACCCATTTGAAACATTAACAATGGATGTCCGAAAGGAGATCTTGCTGCTAGCCCAGAGACAATGTGATAAAACAATATAGTAAGAACAAGCAACTTTGTGGTTCTATGAACCATTTCCCACCATCCTGAAATCCACAGGGGTGCACCAATGCTGCTGTACTGCTGAATTCACTGCTGACATTTGGCAGTGTATGGCAAAAGGAAACAATTTCTCCTCAAAATGATGGATGTGGGAAGCAGGCACCCACTGAAGCAAAATTTGTGTTCCTGAACAAGAGTGAGGTTTTAAAAGGTTTGTGCTCCTCACACACCTGGCCTTAAAGAGAAATCTTGGCAACCATGCAACACGAAATATCAGCAGCAAATTCAGCAGTAGAGTGGTGGAGAGGAAAATATAGGCCACAAAAAGGGGAACAGAGACCACAGGTGGGCTGCATGTTGCCTGTTCCTGCTCTTCAGTGAAAAACTGAAAGGCATTCTATATTACAGTATATATAACTACTCATCTAGTCATGGTTTAAAAAAAAGACTAAGAAAAACCCATCCACTACAAGGAACACACAGAAAGAATAGAATGGAAGTAGTAATATTGGCATTTGAGTTATCATGTCTGCAAAGCAGTGCCTACATTCCCTTTACAGCTTAGTACTTCAGTTTCCCTTTGCTGAATAGTTTAGTACACAAACTTCTTAAAACATAGTTCTGCAGATGTTTGGAGTGTGTCTTTCCTTAAAAGACTTAGAAAATATTTAAGATTACCCTAATATAAGATCTGTTTGATGTGAAATTTTGAAATTTTCAACTGAGGAGAAAAACAAACAACCAAAATCGTTTAAATCAGCTTATTCTCTTACCATAAGCATCATGAGAAGGCAGGTTAAGGACAAAAATCCCACCAGATGCAGATGGCAGAGCAAACATTGCTCCTCCATCACTGGTAAGCCAAGCTGCTGAAGCAACCGAATTAGCTGACAGCCCAGGAACTGTAGGGATCACACAATAGTTCGATGGATCTCTAAAATGAACTTTTCCAATATCTGTGAAAACAGACTGCATGTGACTTTCTGTTATCAGCTCCTGTAAGAAAAAAAAGGTTAGTTAGCTACAAGAAGCTTGGAAAAACCAAGAAGTTTAAGTCACACATTAAATTCTACTCAAATTCCTCTTGTATGATATATGATTGTGATCTTAAACTGTAGCAAGGGATTAGAAGAATGGTTAGCATGAGGGTGGATAAAAAGCAGTCAGTTATGAGTTATCATAGGAACACAGAAAGCTGTTTTATATAAGTTCAAACTATTTGTCCATGTAGCCCATTATGATCTACTTTGACATTAGTTCCTTACAGCATCAAACAAGTCATCCATATTACCTGCCTCTCAGATCCTTCCTAATGGTGGCAGGGACTGAATGGGGACCAGCTGCTTGCCAAACATATTACCAAATTATTTCAGCATGAACACATTAAAATACTTCACAGCTCATCCCACAAAGCCTTAATTTAGATAATTCTTTAAAACAATGTATCCCAGTCATTAATCTATAGTTAATTATTGGCCTTGACACCAGGAACAGACACCAGGGAGCATATGTTAACCATAGTTTAGCAATTCAGACATCACAATATGCTATAATTAGAATTTAAAAGAAGATAAAACACAAGGAAAGGAAAAGTCATGAATGTCACTTGCTTCTGATATTTCTGAAAAAAAATTTGGAGTGTTACCTGAACCAAATATGTTAAAAGTCGCACAGGCTTAACATCAAAATGATTTTGCCAGTACATTTAATAATACTCTTGGAAGAATTTGATGCAATAAATAAAGGTAATGGAACAGATTACTTACGCTCCTATACATCCGAGTGGGATGTGGTAACATCAGCCTGTGCACTGTTTGATTGGTTAGAATCAAGATAACAACATGATTCTGAGTTTCAAAGATATGTACTCCTCCAGGTATGAGACTACAGTTCTGAAATTTGAGCTGAACAGCATTGTTCAAAAGGTTTATATCAAGGGACTCCTCCACCAGTTCTAAGGTTCCACCAGAAGTAGCCCTGCAAAAGAAAACAAGTCCATTCTTACAGTTACATATTTATAGATTCCAATCAAGTCCAATGTCTGTATGCATGGAGGACATGATGCAGAGACAAGCCTTGGGAATCAGATGTATGTGCTTCCAAGGCATAATATTGGCCACTTTATTTTAAATTCCTTTTCTAATTACTGCCCCCCAAACATGGAAATTTGCCCTTTTCACAGCAGCTGTACACTGAGTTGTCATTTTCTTCCAGTTATCCACTAGAGTCATAAGATCTGTTTGTTTTTTCTCCTCAGAACATTTCCAACTGATCCCTCCTGCTCCACCATAACCTATCTGCATCTGACTCACCATGTATTTCTGACATGTCTGTTGATTATTAATTTTAAAGTCAATGTCAGTTCCACTGTCACATTTCATTACAGCCAATGGATATTCAATTCACCAGTAACTCTTTACTATGTCACTTGTTCATATAGGCTTTTCATTCCCACACCTCAATGCTTGTTTTAATTTAACGAGCAAAGGCAAAAAATACTTGTCACAAGTACTCTCCTTTCCTTGTTTGGGTATTGTGTTTTCAGCTCTCTCAATATTTCCCTCTCTTTCTCTGGTATGTAATGCTGCCATTAGGAATTTAATTCCCATCTTATTAACTTCTCCCACAGTATTGTACTCATGCTACAATATGTTCATTGGACTATGTGTTCCTGAGGATGAGACACTGATAAGTAAACAGCCTATGACTCTGAGATAACAAACAAATAAAACTTTATTTGTACAAGCATACTGGTTTCAATGTGTTCAGTAACTTATTTCTTAAAGAGAATAGAACAGTATAACCAATTCTAACTGAGATATATTACTCTTCCCCTGTACAAATACTCCTCACACACTGATCCTCCTTTTTCTCCTGCGCTCAGGTTTCTGTCAGCTTCTATCTCTCACATCTTTTAATACTGGACAATATGGAGTTGTGACTCTCCCTAGTCACTAATATATCCAAACATACTACTTTCTTAAGATTCTTAAATGCATTTCATAGCACTCTATGAGATTCTAATGAGAAGGCTGCCTCTTAAGGGCACTGACAGACCACAACAGACTGTTAAGGACTGACTGATAACTTTCCTTCTCTCACATTTCCAAGAGCTCACACACTCTCAGTCACCAACCAATCATGTCACTCACTCACCTCTTTTACCCCCTTACTATTCTGAAACTTACCAAATATTTAAAGGAACACACACAGCACTTCAAATCATCACAGTACTAGATTTATTTTGATGTGAACTTGGAACAGATTTTTGGGATTTCACTATTGAAAACAAAATCAACTTCAGCTGGCCAAGTCCTGTTCCCTCCCAACAGACAAATGGATGAAAGGTTCAGAGAAGAAGCATGCTAATGAGGAAATTATTCACTTGCTTAAGCTAGGACCATATGCAATGTTAACCTAACTTAACCCGCACTTATGACAAGTCTACTCTAAGTAGGCCTAACATTGGACCCCCTAGAAGTCCCTTAACAGATTTAACAGGTGGCAGCTGTAGCATTGACTGACAAACTATCCAGCTATGAAGTGGTGGGCTGCAAGGCCAATGCCTCCGACCACTCACCAGTGAATGAAACGATTTCTGGTCACCGAGCCCAGCTGAGCATTCTCCAGGTACCAGTATCCGCCCGCGCTGTCAGCATAACGCACGGCTGTGGGGGAAGCTCCACCACCTGCAATGGATGGAGAAGGGACGTAGGTCAGCCAACATGCGCGATAGGAAGTAACACTGCTACAGCTGTCAAATCATACTGACGGACGCCTAGCAACCCACACCCAATGCCCCCTTCGGAGCTTAGCACCTGGGAGGCTGAACACGAGCTCCCGAATCCTGCGCCGCGCGCCCCGCTCCGCCCCACTGAGCTCCAAGTAGCCGCGCTCCACCAGTCCCACAGCAGCCGCTGCAGTCGCCATCTTCCCTTCCCGCGCGCGCCGCCGCAAGGGCTCACGGGATTGTCAGAAGGGGGCAGGCTGAACAGCGGCGGCCTCCGCAATGCATCATGGGACACAAGCAGTCCGAGGTGCGTGGAGGGAATCGATATGAATCCCTGTCGAGCAAAGAGTTAAAGGGAAGGGCGGCGCACGGAAAAAGAGGGTGTGATTGTGACAACACAGAAGCCGATCCCTTTCCTGGCTCGCGCTTGTTGCAGGTTCTGAGGTCGAAAGCGTGGCAAATGTTTTGGCGCACCATCCACCCAGCGTTCATTGATTGTATTTAAGCCTATTTTAGAGTAGAAAAGACTCCTGGTACAAACAAGCCTGTCAGCTGAGCATCGGTTTGAAAAAGGCCGTTACAGCCACTTCCCTTACAGGTGTCCTGCCTTGTGACTCCAGGAACCACTTCCCACTAATCAAAGTCTGGTGCAGCCAAGTGGGATGGGGATATCGTGGCAAGCTCAGACCCTCAATATCCCTACAGGTGGGGAGGCAATGTCAGAAGACTTTGTATAAGTAAGCAAGAGAAGGAGTCAATCATGCTGCAGAGTATAACTGCTTCAAATGTCTCCTAGCTATATATGAAAAAAACCTTCCAAAACTCTTTGGTGAAGCAATTTGTTGTATTAAAACAACAACAGCACCACAAACCAATACAGGAGCAGCAAAACAGAAGTTTTCAGGAGGCATTTGAAAGATGGCACTGAATAGACAATTTAACAACAATAGATATACTATCCACATGTATTGCAACTGTCTTGAATGACTACATGGGGGGGGGATATTGTTTATATAATGAAGGGTGGGGAGAGACTGACAAGGGCTTAGCATTGGCTGATCATGACCATAATTCTGTGGCTGAATTTTGTGCAGTTAGGACAGTGTTCAGAATGAAGATTAGTAACATAAAATTGTAAGTGTTTCCCAGTGTACTCACAAGGGTGATTAGCAGGTGGAGATTTGGGACTGGAGTTGAGGAAAACCATGTAAATTCTTACTGAACCCAGAAATGGAATATAAATAAAAGAGAAAGTAATAAAGTCTACTGGGTGGCACTGAGTACCCTTTTAGAGTTTGCTTATTCTCATATATACATGTCAGTTATGGAGGAACAGCTAACTACAAATTGAGAACACTGCAATCAATGTCTACCCTGCTGATGAAAAGACTTCCAGTGATGAAAAGAGCCCCAGCAATTACCTAAAGAAAAGAACAGGTTCCTTTCCTAGTTTAACAATAAACATTCTTGTCACACCTTGCTTTGAACATTGAAAGGACTAAAGTCACATTGCAATTTCTCCTTTTCCATTAATGTTACTATAACTCTACTCTCCACTGCAGACTACAGATCAAAACCATTTCCTCTGTTCTCAGGCTTCTTGTCCACTGTTGTATTAAGTTAGACAATTAAATAAATTGACATATGAGGAAATTAGACCAGATTTTTTATATTTCTTTTGTCTGGCAGCAGTTTTAAAGTATGTGTTCACACGGGGGGAAATTAAATATAAGGTGAATGCCTACTTCTGTTTTATTTTTATTTTGTGATTTTGAGTCAGGAATTATTTATATTAAAAGTCATCCCAACTACTAATTTTCAATGTTATTTTTAAGCATTCAGCCATTCCCATTCTGGTGCCTCCAGATCTGTTGGGCTGCAGCGCTTGACCTGCTCAGCCAATGCTAAGCTCAAAGCATGGTATGACAAGAATGTGGTTGTCAAATTAGGAGATGAATCTTTTCTTTTCCTTAGAGAATTGCTGGAGCAGATGCTGAAGGGCACCAAATTGGAAAAATCTGAAAATATCCCTATCTCTGTCTCTAGAGGGCACCAATCACTTCCATAGGCTTGGCATGCAGACTTTCGTTTCAGTTCGCCATGGGCTCCTTGCCGGGCTTTTTAAATGAAAAGGGTACATTCACAAGCCATGCCCATAAGATACATTTAAACAACACATGAGACTATCAATACCTGAAAGTGAAGACTTGTATTTGGAAAGAAGATTACATGTTTTATTCTCCCATTTTCACAAGATGACAAGTGAGAGTGCTACCAATGTTAATTGAAGGTAAGTGCGATTAGCCTTTGCATAGCCTTGTGCAACACTGTGACAATCAACTCTGCAACTTGTGTAAAAAGACTGGCAAACAGCTGGATCAACATGTGGTTTCTTGCTTGTCATAAAATCTAACATTGCAAAGAAACAATCCCTGTCCCACTACCAGAAGTCCCTCAAGATTGCTTCTTTTCATATTCTCTTCACAAATTACTAGCAATTCATTTTATTGGAAGAATATTTGCTTGGGAGGAAAAGAACAATTTCCCCTGCAACTTTCCCTATTTCCCTAATCACACCTAATCTGTGCTGATCTTGTGTAGTTTTAAACCCTTAGGGTACAATCCTATATGACTTTAGAGGCAAAAATGTTCTGCTACTATTAGCATGCTCCAGCCAGCCATGGATCATGGTGGATGCTCCTACTGAAGCATAGGTTGCAGTGGTCCCCATTCAGAGCTTCCCTGATACTCTTCTCTTCCCAGAAATACTCACTACATTATATCCAAACTATCTGCTCTATGAAATCCATGATTCTGCCTGTATCTTTCGTTAAGTTATGTCAGAGTGATATACCCTAGATTAAACACTTTACTCACTAGCTGTACTCAGATTTTTTTTTACTATATTTTGTTTTAAAATGTAAATGCTTTCATAATACATTTTATTATGTTATTGTATTTCATAGCTTTAAGGGCTTTTCATGAACTACTCAGATAGCTTGAGCTTATTGGTAGGTATATAATTGTGATAAATAAGGGCATAATGCAATGCATGTTTTTAGGCAGAAAAAAATGACAGGCTGGGAAATGCTGGGAGTTGTAACTTTGTTTTTCTGTTGAAACACACATATGAATAGGCTTGTGCCCTAAATAAATAACTATTTTGAGAATTTGTGGACACTTATAACCCAGTTCGACCCAGTTCTATAGATATACATTCTGTTGGGATAAACTAGGCTTGCTTCAAGATAACCTGATTGGGGTCAGCCTCTTACCTGGTTTGTTTCTGGTCCTGATAGAACCCTTGAACTTTAACTGACAAGCATCTTTCAAGTAGGCCAGAGTGTGTATGCTGTGAGACTAAGCAGTAAATTGAGAATCCTACAGTTTCCTCCTGCTTGGAAGAACAACCAGAAGTTCAGCAGAACATGGTGGCCAATACCTCTTGGGTGTGTGACAGCTGTGCCTTTGGCAGCTATATGAGTTCAGTATTTGCACATAAAACATGGTCCTTTTAGAGACACCATTGGGAAATCTGGATGACAGCAGTATCGGTAGTTAAACTAGGGAGAAATATGACTGCAGAGAACAAGCAGGTATTAGCAGGCTGAAAGGTAAGCTTCCATTCATTTCTGCAGCATTTCTACCAGCCCTCCTGTTTTCTCCTAATGCTGCTCTCCTTGGTCTGCTTTCAGAAACAACAGTGTACCTGAGTGGCTCAGACATTAACCTGCCCTATCCAGAAGGCCAGTTCACATGACTCAGCAGTCCCCATGGTTTATTTAACCCATGATGAGGCTGCAGAGCATGCAGTGGAGAGTGTGGCTGCTATTTTGCATATCCAACCCCTGCTCAGGAGATGTTCTGCTGTGTGAACCCAGCAAATGTGCATCATGCAAATGTTAATCTTTGCATAACCCAAGAACAGGCCATGTTTGCCAGGTTCTCATGAAACCACAACATCCAAGTGGGGGTTAGAAACACAAAATGGTACCTGAAGATACAGAGATCCATCATTGGCTAAATAATGAATAGGAACTATTTGGTCAATATTTGGGGCTATTTCTCAGAACCAGGTTTTGGTGCTACATGGTCCTCAGATTACACCAGACATATTCCAGACAGCACCACCATGAATCAATTCAACCGCTCCTGCAAGAAATAATCTACTGCCTCCACTGGGCATAGAACTAGTACTGCTGCTCAGAAAGGTCTAGAAGCTGCTTTTACGTTCCAAGCTCTGAAATGCACAGGACAGCCTGCTTACCCAGGGCCTGCTTACTCAAGGCTTTGGAGCACTAAGCTAGGGCAGGCCCAGCAAGAGCAGCTGTAGGATGGTGACGGGGAAGACTCTGAATGGCGCTGTTTTGGCGGCTGCCCCAGCTCTGCCTCCCTGGTGTTGGGGAGAGGCTGAAGGGTGGGTCGCCCGGGACAATACTTCTTTTCAGGCAGAAGGGCTGCATGAACAGCTCTTAGGCGGCTGTGGCTGTACAATGCACCCTGTCTTCCTGTGCAGAATGGCTGCATTATTGTGCTGGTCAGGTGGCTGTCCAAGGCCTGCTTCTGGGAACGTAGGCACTAACTAGAACAGGCCCTGAGCTGGCACAGAGACACAATGGTGGGTCGGGGAGCAAGCTTTGCGTGGACCACCTGTACTCCAGATATCGTGTGGATAGGTTAAGGCATCTTTGGTCCTGCTCCCCAAATCCAGCTCTGTGCTTCTCAGGGCCTGGGTGTCTTTAGGACAGAATGGTTATTCATTTTGCTAGCTCAGATGACTGTCATAAGAATGCTAAAGTAACCTGTTACAGCAGTTACTTCCAACTTAGTCACCTTTGAAGAATTGCAACTTTGTGAGAACTGAAAGTCTGCACCAATAGATTGGTTCACACCTCAGGTACCCAATTGACATCTTCACATCTTTCCTTTTCCACTCTCTGCTCTGTCCTTTGCATGATATATAGTTTTTTCTAATGCGGTACCACTTTATTTCTGCTTTCATCCTTATATCCTCACCATACTCGGCCAGGAACAGAATTCCATGAGTTTCAGGACTAGATTTCAGCACTTGTAAACATGGCACATGCTCCTAATCCACCTGCGGTGCAAGCAAGGAGATCTGAGAGACCCCCCTCAAAAAGGTCTCATCCATGAGACCACTGGTATGATAACCTCCAGTATGAAACCTAGTTACAACATCACTTGTAATATT